ACCAGAAAAAAATAAAGAAGAAAGTTGTTATCTAAGAAATAAAAAGGGGGAAGGTAAATAGGAAAAAAACGTAAAAATAAAATACTTGAAGTTAGGAATGTGTACATCGGGGGCAGGGTATTGAGATGGGATGTGTAAATCAGGCAATAGAATGTATAGAATGGGCAAGAACATTCCTGTCAACTTTTAGACCCTTTTGATAGTGGATATATTTCATCCTCTAGAGACTTACAGACCTTAAAGGGAAAGTGAGGATGTCCAGCGTCGTTTAGGCAACCAAAAGTCACCTATCCACCCAGAAGTCCCTCTAGTGGCTCTCTGGTAGACAGCCACTAGAGAAGGAGTTAACCCTAGTAGGTAGTTATTGCAGTTTGAAAAAACCGCAATAATTGCATGCTTAGGGTTAGGGGTGATGAGAGTTTGCACTGAGCTGAAGTGGTCTGGTTGCCTACATTGTCCCTTTAAATATGGTTTAATAAGATTTTTTTTTCACTACATTCTAATAGTTGCTTAATAATAGCTATGAAATGCACACTGGAAAATGAAACTGGCGATTTGGCACTAATTGCTTTAATAAAGACTTTTTAAGGTGAAGAGTGTTTTGGCTATACTTTGTACCTTTTTATGGCTTAGCTTTTTTTTTATAATAATGTTAATGAATACTTTATTGGTATATGAGTGTAAGAACTTTGGTGGAGCCTGGAGAGCAGGGCTAGTTTTGCAATGTAGACATTACTGTTTCATATTGCTTAGCCTACATTTTTAAGGGTCTGAATCATGTGAATTTGCGGATTTTGTAGTATATAATTTTAAGTATGTGGGATCATACACTGTCCTTGCAATTTTCTGCAATTCTACTGTGCTTACGGAAAAAAGAAATAAAGGGTGTTGTGTCTTCAAGAAAACAAACTAGCAAGACAAAATCTTCTACTTACCGTATTTACTCGAATCTAATGCTCACCTTTTTTGGACTGCACTGCACTGTGAATGTTTACATGGTGTGTTCAATAAAAACATGGCAACATTTCATTCTTTGTCTGTTATTAGTTTAAGCAGACTGTGATTGTCTATTGTTGTGACTTAGATGATGATCAGATCACATTTTATGAGCAATTTGTGCAGAAATCCATATCATTCCAAAGGCTTCACATACTTTTTCTTGCAACTGTATATATGCAATTTTATTTATTGCAGATTGAAATTGCACTTTGCCAGTTTAATGCACTACAATTTTTTTTGCATGCACTATTGATCATGTAATTTTGGGGAAAAAATACTCTAGTCATTGATTTAATATTTTTGAATAAGCCTTTCAAATGATCACAATGCTTTAACAAAACTTTGTCTAATGATTTGTATACACAAGTCAAAAATTTACGTCTATGGAAGCTTTTGTAAATAAATAATTTTAAAAGTTTTTTTAACAGATTGTGATTAATTGAAAAGCGTATCCAAAATAATTTCATTGAGGCCAGTCTTCTAGACTACGTACAATATTATCCTACTAGCGATCTTATTTTCATTTAAAATAAAAACAAAAACAACAATCTACATCTGGAAATTTACTGAGGTTGTTTGGGAAGTGCCATTTATTAAATTACATTAATTAAAGTCTGCTCACATATTATACAAGTTAAGACTTAACTTTTATGAGCACTCATTTATTTACAAAGCGATATCCACCCCCGACTACAAGAATGAGCTAATTATTTATTTCCATTTGTCAGAAAATGGAGCCAATGATTTAACCTGTTTTGCTCATGTCAGGAAAATCTAGTGAATGGTTGTGTAACCATGCTGAAACCTACGTCAAGCTGTATCACAAAAAAGAGATAACGTACTCAATAAAATAGTAATAAAAAAATTGAGTGGGTCTGTTTTACAAATGCTATCTTGTAGAAGAATTTAGATGTACACAATAGGTTGTTTTAGGACGTGCCTTACCTTTGCCCCTACGTGGTATGTTTAACTGGAATATAATTTCACAATGCCAAATCGAAAGCAGTTGGCACTCTTGTATTACAATATTACACACTGAGGTTATAATGGATATTACAGTTTGTAGTAGATCTGCCATGTTGGAAAAATAATATGGTGACATCATTTTTCAGATGGTTTCCAGAGGTGTCATAGGTTCATAGGTGCCATGCTGTGAGCGTATTTTAAGGAACATGCCAATGGTACAGACTGATAACAGAGGATGCAACATACCAGGAACGTGCAGTCAGCATCTTTTGTAAGAAAGGAGCGTATGCGGGCAATGGTTTAAGGTGGAATCGATTTAGCAACAGACTGGACATGAGGTGCAAAGGTGAGGCCCGAATCAAAAATTACACCTAGACGCTATACCATACAAAGGATATGAATGGATCGTAAAGAGTATACCATGGGTACAGGCAGATTCTAGAAGGTATGTCATGGCAGAAACATGGTATGATAATTTACCGGAGATACAGATGAGGAGGATATAAACAACTCACAGTTTATATTCATCCATTCATACATAGTGTCCCACAGTCATTTTGTTTTAAATCATTTAAATATAAAATATATATGTAAATGAAATAAATGATATGCTTTTTAAATAACAGAAACATCTATCTAAATGATAATAAAGTGACACTGGCATAGGAGACATTTGAGATATGATTTAGGATAATACAACTCAGAAAAGTGCTGTTCTGTTTTCCAGAGTCACACAGTGGAAAAGTACACACGCCATCATTTGCAGCCCTAATGAGGAGGTATGTGTATGTTTGTAAAGTCTGGAAGTGCCAACATTTGTTAGTTTCTTGTAAAACTTTCTTCTTTCAGGGTCTGGGATAGTTACTAGATCTTGTGTGGAATGTGTGGATTAAGAAAAATACATCCTACTCTCTGTCCAAGTTCTTATTTAAGATAGAGAACATATCTTATTATATGGATGTTTTAGTTCTGAAAGTCACTTTGTTTAGCTAAACGTAAAGAGTAATGGTCTGATTTAAAAATGTATCCTGCCCAGCAAAGCAACCAGAGCTCCATCAACTGTTCCACTGTCATTTGCAACTGGAAGACCAACATTTCATTAGATTTTTTTTACAAACTCTGTTGTTTTTGTTGTGTGTGCTTTTATATTTAGTGATTATTATTTTATTATTTTCAATGTATTTATTTCCATGTCTTTGTAACTACAGCTTGTGCTAATCACTGCTTACTCTATCACCTTAATGTAGGGTAATAACTGCTTGATCCAAGGATAAATCTGACTGCCATTCTGGGGTCAAGAAGGATTTTTTTTCCTAGCTTGTTGCAAAATTGTGCTTCAAACTGTTTTTTTTTGCCTTCTTTTGGATCAACAGAAAAAATCAAATGTGAGGTAGGCTGAACTTGATGGAGGCAAGTCTCTTTTCAGCTATGTTACTATGTAACTGTGTAACCTTTGTCTTGTCCATTATGTTAAAAGTTAGTTTAACCAGCTCAGGCCCATATATCTTTCTTGTTATTTGTTTAATGGTTTTATTTCCTTACAAGAATACTTCTGTCTTATCTCTGTAATTTTCACTCTTAACCTTTGTTTTTCCTTAAATGACCCTTAAATCAAATGTCCATAGATGCATCTCCCCTATCCCTTAGCACATCTGACCCTAATATATATCTCTTTCCCACAGTCTGATTTTGAAATTTATATTGCCCAGCAAAGCAACCAGAGCTCCATCAGCTGTTCCACTGCCATTTGCAACAGGTAGTCTTCTGGAAGACTGTTGTTCCTATTACAAACCAAAAATCATTGTGCTCTCAGAATCATGGTTAATAACTAAAATACCAGACTCCGCCATTGCAATATAGGGTTATTCATGTTTTACAAATGACAGAGCAAAGAGAGGAGGAGGCATTGTTATTTATGTTGACAATTCCATAAAGTTTACCCCCTTACAAAACTTTAGCCTACCTGGCACCTTTGATTTCCTTTCTGGCAATATTGAGATCTCGTGCAGTAAATCAATCATTGTTGCAGCAATCTACCGCCCACCTAGCTCCCCTCTGCATTCCCTTTCTGACATAGCCCATCTCCTTAATGAAACCATAGCTCAAAGCCCAAAAAGTGAACTGTTGGTCTCTGGAGATTTTAATATTGATTGGCTGAATACTAAAAATAATAGTTCTTGCTCGTTGTTTAAGACTTTGCAGCTAACGCAATTAATCTCCTCCCCAACTCGCATAAACATTAAAAGCCATAACCATACACTGTTCAACTGGATTCTCTCCACTTCTCCTGATAGAATCCAGGCAGGTGTTCTCCCTAACTGTTTCAGTGATCACTGTTTAGTGTACTGAGTGCGCAAAGTAAAGGCTACTGAATACTCTCCCAAGGATAAAATCACCAGGTCCTTCAAAAAACTTAATCTTGAATCCTTTCTGTAACGGCACCCCCAGGCATAAAAGGGGTTAAAAGCTGTTTAGGAGATATTCCCCTTCCAGATATACAGGCAGCTACCAAAGACCGTAAATAGCTGAATAGGAAAAACCATATAAATAGGTTTACACTCCTAGCAGTCGAACTGGAACAGCATACAATAAGTCCCCCCAAGAATGAGACAAGGCTCCGTTTTGAGGGTCAAGCAGGAACAGACAGAACTGTGGGTTTATTGTTCTTATATACACATTCTTACACATTAGTACCACCCACAGGGTTTTGGAAAACAACCAATAAGCAGGTACAATACACTCAGACACTCCCACACAAAATCCTCCCCTCTGCCTGTGATACAATTACCTTACACAATGGGTAATGTAATTATCACAGGCAGAGAAATACAGTTTTTCCACATTATTCATAACTTTAAAAGTATACATCACATTCACATAAAACTTACATTTTCAGAATCAGCATACTCCAAAACATATGTCAAAATCAAATTGGTCTGGTGGTTCAACTTCCCTTAGATGTAGCAAATGCCTTTAACAATTATTTTGTCGGATGCTTCACTACACTGATTGCCAAGCTAATAAATGACATACATCCTGAAGCTACGAATGTGGATCAGGCTCCACTATATTTGCAAAGACCCAATATAGACAAGTTCATTTTTAGACCTGTACCTATTAGTGTCTTTAAGAAACACCTTAATAATCTACAAAGGAAAAACCAGTCTGGACCTGATCAAATTCCAGCAATGCTGTTGAAGCTCAGTGCGCCAGCAATTGCTAAACCCGTCACAACCCTAATTAACGAATCCTTGTTGTCTGGATACATACCCAAAATTTGGAAGACTGCAAGAGTAGTGCCTGTTCATAAAAGTGGTGACAGTACTTTGGTTTCTAACTATTGCCCAAATTTCATTGCTCCCAGTATTGCATCCATATGCAAATATTACCAACGATCTAACTATCTGACCCCTGATCAATCAGGTTTTTGCTCGAATCACTCCACTACAACTGCCCTCTTAAAAGTTTGCAATGACATCCAAACTGGCATGGAACAAGGAGACCTAACTGGAGCTATTTTCCTTGATTTTGCAAAGGCCTTTGACGCAGTAGACCATGACATTCTACTGCACAAACTCAAAAACTCAGGTATTGGAGATTGTCCACTAACCTGGTTTTGATCATATGTATCGGATCGCTCGCAATATGTGTCCATTTGTGACAGCGACTCCCTCTCCCAGTCACTTGTGGTGTTCCCCAAGGTTCCATTCTCGGCCCCCTACTATTTACATTATTTATAAATGATTTGCCTAATGTCTGCAAATCCTCAAATGTACACATGTACACAGACGACATAGTAATCTATGCAAGCAAATCCGATCTACCGCAGCTTGAGGCTGTGCTCCAAGACCAGGTCACAGAGGTAGAAAAGTGTTAAAAACAAACTCTTCCTAAACACTGACAAAACTGTCACAATGATCTTTGGAACAGTACCTAAATTACACAAATGACACAATTTCTACCTATCCATCAAAACAAAATCAAATAGTACACTGACAGCAGTCCACTTCAAATACTTGGGTATGTTGTTAGACCCCATTCTATCTGTTGGCCTCCACATAGAAAAGCTTACATCTAAACTGTATCCAAAACTAAGTGCCCTGTACAAAAACAAATCCTGCCTGAGCCCTACAGTAAAGGAAACGATTGTACAGCAAATGCTGATGCCAATCATTGATTATGGGGATGTAGTATATGCACCTGTACCGCAAACCCACATTAATAAACTCAATACATTGTATAATTTGTTCTGTCAAATTGTGCGGCACCCTTGATCTTTCCAGCCTTGTGTTTAAGAGCTTTTCTGAGAAGCTCCCACCCTACCGGAGCAAAATGCTCTCCTTGGCAGTTCCCACCTCCTATAACCTCTGATCCAGTACCAGCACTTTATTCAGTCTACCTCAATACAAAAAGAAAGCAGCCCGATTCTCCTTCTCCTACAGAGCGCCGCAATTATGGAACGACCTCCCGCACACTTTCAAATCTTCCCCAAGCCTAAAGTCCTTTAAGAGATCCCTCTCTACATATCTCAAAACAGAATGAACCTGCCATGGTTGATTATATATTCCCTACCTGTTCTATGTTAAATTTTGTATATATTGTGTATTAATATTGTTTTTGCATGTAATTGTACTCTATTGTATCAATGCAATGTTTTGTGGACACAGGACATACTTGAAAACGAGAGAAATCTCAATGTACCTTTCCTGGTAAAATATTTTATAAATAAATACATTTGTGACAGCTACAGTTTTATTTATCTTGCCCCAGTAAACACTATTGAAATGAACAGCTTAGATCAGTAAAAATTCACTTTCTTATACTTTTCTTCACTATCATCACAAGAATCTTTGCATGTTTGCTGGGTAATGTATCCTCATTATTCTTAACAGGCATTTAGCAGTCACACATGGAATCATGGGAACTCATTCATTTTAACTAGTTGTCAGATTATGCCAGAACAACCTTGCATTTAATGTCACAGTAAATGGAAATGAAATTTACAGTGAATTGAAAACAAATCCTATACATCAAACAATAAAATTCAGATCTGCAAGGTCATACATAATGTGAGTGACATTCTTGTGTGTCTACTCTTCTGTGGTGATGGTTAATAATTTCTTGTTCTATCGCATAATGTGGTGTATAATTATTCCATTTTGAATGATAGTCATATTTAAGTTTCCCATGAAAAGGTCTTCATAGAGAAAGTATCTGATCTGGTGGATTGTCATCTCTGAGTTGTGTTCTGACTCAATGATTGAAGAGAAATGGCAGAAGATGTTCTGGGTGACAAATCATTTTTTCAAAACCTCTGGTCTCTGTATTTTAACCTGTACAAGAAGTAACGATTATGTGAAGGTTAGTGAAGAAAGAGGACCAATAATGAAATAAGAACATGGGGGAAAAAAAGTTGAAAGAGTTTCAATAAATTAATGTATTGTACAAATTCTAAAATTCAGAGAAAATTCCTTCCAACAGAGATGGAAAAGCACAATGCCATGACATAATGTACAACAAAATACAATGTCAATCTATAAAAAGCAGTCAATCATAAAAAAATATAAGAATGGAAATAAAAGTAATCCAGGGAAGGAAACAAAGAGAAATTATACGAAGAGGAAGAGAAAGTCAATCTTTGCCTACCTGGGTGGTTGTATCTACATTCTCAAGGGCTGGTCGGAATCTTTGCTGATAATCTGGACAAAAAGGAACATTTAGTTAGACTTGCTTTCTAAACATCCTTCCCTGCATATGGTCACAAAAAAAGAGCAATGCATCCATTCTTCTGCTTGCAAGGTGACACCAACAGAAGCAGCTATGAGTCAGTCTCTGCTCCCGCGGGCTGATTTAGTGATACAAACAGAAAGAGCTATGAGTCTGTCCCTGGAATGTTTTTAGTAACACCAACATAAGGCTGACTTATCATTTTTAGTCATTCTAGCTGGATTGTGGTACTTTTCAGCTGTTTACATACCTTCATATACTGCCTCACTTAGGTTGGTGATTCCTCGCTCAACACTCCATTCATCGTCATAGTCTTCATACCATGATTTGTCATCATCTTTGAATAACGTATGCCTAAATTCACAGAGCGTTGCAGTTATATAACTATCCGAGCACACAATGTACAGGTATAAGGGAGCTAGAATATTACAAATGAATGAAATCAGGCCAGTTTACATATATATTTATAAATCTCAAAGCACAGACACATAACATAAGGAAGCAAACAATATATTCCAAAAACAGTACTTACTTTTTCTGGTGTTTTCGAAACATGAAGAAACTCAAAGTGAAAATAAATATTACAAGCGCTGCAATTCCCGCACCAATACCACCATATAATCCTGCCTTTAATATCTTTCCCTGGCACCCCTGGGAGGTATATACGTATGTTTCTGTTTTTGGACAACTGCAAAACAAAGATAGAGCAATACAAAGTTACTAAACAAAAAAACACAAAAACACACATTTTAGGCCAGACAAACAACTGTTAACATATAATTGCTAAATCCGGGAAGCATTGCATCCAATATTAGATAATGGGTTCATTATAAGTGTCTTTGCGTGAGGCTGTATTTATATACTACCCCACCATATCTCATGACACATAGTAGAATGCTGTATCAGTAAGAAGCATTATTTTGTATATAGAGATTGTTCTATAAACCAAAACATATACTCACAGACAATGTGCTCCTGTGACCTTTTGTAATTGGCAGGTGCCATCATGACAATTTAAATAGCTTTTTGAATTTGGACTGCAGCTTGAAACACAGATCAGGCTATTATTAACAACGATTGGTTGAAAGTGTTCCTGAAAGCCAGACTGAACAACTTCATTGCAGCGATCTGCAAAAAGACAATACAGACACATTCAGAATATTTCTTTCATGCCTACTACCAATCAGGGCTGGTGCAAGGATTTTTGCTGCTCTAGGCAAACAAAAAATATGCCGCCCCCATATGTTCTGCTCACCATGTGACATCACAATACCCCACCCATATGATCTGCCATATGGGCCTACACCAGTGCTGCACACAGTGTCTTTTATCTGAAATGGCAGTGTGTTAAGCGTAAAAAGCCTGCAGGGACAGGCTATAGACACCATAACCACTACATTAAGCTGTAGTGGTTCTGTGACTATAATGGCCCTTTAATGTGAGGTAAATTAGAGATTAGTGCCGCTAATAATATACTGGATTGCCTTCTTACCACCAAATGAGGACAAGAGGATGATGATGGGCTCAGGCTGCAGTCTGGCTCCACAGGTCTGGTGTAGAAGAGGATCTTTGGAGACTGTTTGTGTCCACAAAAAATCAGTGTCCACAAAAAATCAATGAACAAGAAGCAGCTCCATTTTTTGGGGCCCCTTATATAGCTCAAGGTCTGGGTCCCCAGGGCCTGACCATGAGTATGCCTACAAGGACCGCCCATAAGTCCACCTACATGGCCCACCCATGAGTTCGCTCACAGGGAGTGGAGTGTATGCGGATGTGTGTAGGGGATGTGTTATGTGTCATTGTAGAGGATGTAATGTGTGTGTGTTCTTATGGAATGTAGTGTATAGGGATACCAATTTGTGTAAGGGATATAGTGTGTGTATAGGGGATGCAGTGTGTGAGGAATGCATTGTGTGTTTCTGGGTGTATCTGTAAGGAATGCAAGGTGTGTTTCTGTGTATGTAATGCAGTGCAGTGTGTGTCTGTAAGGGGTGCATTGAGTGTGCGTAAGAGATGCATTTTGTTTCTGTGTGTGTGTGTGTGTGTAAGAGAAGCAGTGTGTGTGTGTGTGTGCGAAAGGGATGCACTGTGTGTTTCAGTGTGTCTGTGTATGTATAAGGATGCATTGTGTATGTGTGTAGTTTGAAAGAGAGCTTTTGTGGGGTAGGAAAGGGGTTGAGAGGGGAGCAGCTCTTTATTTTTTATTTTTTTATAGTTCACTCGCCCCCAGTGGTCCTCCCTCCCCCTCCTTAGTGGTCCTTCCTCCCCCCCTTAGTGAACCTCTCTCTCCTCCACCCCCTTAGTGGTCCTCCCTCTGCCCACCCTTAGTGGTCATCTCTCTCCCCCTCCCCCTCTTAGTGGTCCTCCCTCTCCCCACCCTACCCCTTAGTGGTCTTCCCCCCCCAAACCCCTTAGTGGTCCTCCCTCTCCCCCAACTCCTTAGTGGTCCTCCCTCCACAGCTCTTAATGATCCTCCCTTCCCCCATCTTAATGGTCCTCTCTCCCCTCCCTAGTGTTATCCTCCCTGTTGTGCCTCCTATCACTGTAGCGTGGCAAAGGAGCTTCTGTTTCCTGTACCCGGACGGACTGAAAAGAAGTGCTCTCTCAGTGAGCACTTCCTGTCAGTCTGGCAAGGTACAGGAAACAGATGCTCCTGTATAGGGTTGTATAGGGAGAGGTATTAGCAGTAGAAAGAGGGAAGTGCTCATGCCATTGTACAGAACACTGGTGAGACCTCACTTGGAGTATTGTACACAGTACTGGAGACCGTATCTTCAGAAGGATATTGATACCTTAGAGAGGGTTCAGAGAAGGGCTACTAAACTGGTTCATGGATTGCGGGATAAAACTTACCAGGAAAGGTTAAAGGATCTTAACATGCATAGCTTGGAGGAAAGACGAGACAGGGGGGATATGATAGAAACATTTAAATATATAAAGGGAATCAACACAGTAAAGGAGGAGACTATATTTAAAAGAAGAAAAACTACCACAACAAGAGGACATAGTCTTAAATTAGAGGGACAAAGGTTTAAAAATAATATCAGGAAGTATTACTTTACTGAGAGGGTAGTGGATGCATGGAATAGCCTTCCAGCTGAAGTGGTAGAGGTTAACACAGTAAAGGAGTTTAACATGCGTGGGATAGGCATAAGGCTATCCTAACTATAAGATAAGGCCAGGGACTAATGAAAGTATTTAGAAAATTGGGCAGACTAGATGGGCCGAATGGTTCTTATCTGCCGTCACATTCTATGTTTCTATGTTTCTATGTTTCTGTACCGCGGTCCGCGCCACCAGGCCACGCCAGTCACTCAAATCTGGCGCCCTAGGTGACTATAGGACGTGCTGCTACCAATAGTAAATAGCTCTAAAATATTACTTTTCTATTACCGTTAGATAGATAATATGTTAATATTATGGAGAGTTACCAAATATATATATATTTTAAAGTTTTTATAATTCCTAATAACAACGATTGGGGGGTACAGCTAACAAGCACTATAGATGACCATAAACTAGTTTTTCTAGATATAGACATAATGTTGAGAGTAAAGAATTAAAAACTTGAAACCATTTTAAAAATGTCGATGCAAATAATCATGTACTTTATAATAGTGGACATTTTTCATCATGGTTACATAATATCCCTAAAGGACATGTGTTTGGCATTAAAATACATTGCACAGATAAATCTGAATATGAGAAACAAGCAACTGTGCTAATACATAAGTTTTAAGAACATAAATATCCAGATGAAGTATTGATTGTAGCTAACAGGAAGGTTAGTATTATCCCACAATTTGTATGACTTTTAAAGAAATAATGAAGGATAATGAATTTAACGATTTTGATCCCGTAGTCTTTGATTTTAATATTGCTCATCATACAATAAAATACATATTTGTTTCAAGAGTTTTAAATCTAATGTTAAAGGCAAGGAATATTCCATTAGAGAAAATATATCTTGTAAGAGTAATAATGTAATACATTTGCTAAGATGTCTATGCAGCCTACAATATATGGGACAGCTCTCTAGCCCCCTCTAAAAAAGAAAAAGGGAGCATATTTATAACATCAAGATTGGGATTGTTATATTTTTTGCTTGGTTATCTGGCTCTTTTTTGGCAGCCATTGTTTTGGTGGAGATATGAACATTGAGCAAGTATGCTTTCTAATGATCTAGTTACCTTATTTTGTTAATAGTTTTACTGTAAATGTCACGTTATCATAACTATACTGCCTCTTGGTGTTAGCTTGACAAAGACCCATTGTAAGGTCGAAACTCTGGTCGATACACTTTGTTCCCCCAAGAAATGTGCCTTATTGAGCTTTGGAATGCCTGGACCTTTTTCTTCTTAATTTGATTCAACTATTTGGGATTTGTGCTAGCCCCAGGCCTAGTTGCACCACTTAATTATTATTTTTTGCTCATATGAATAAGTGTAGTTCCTTATCTGTTCGATGGTGTATATGTGTATATATTATGTATATATTATGTATATGTACTTGTATGTGTATATATACATAATATATCCTAGTGAAAGTCCTGATATGGACTGAAACGTCGATATGATGTAACCCGAGTGTGATTAATAAAGACACATTTTCCTGATTAAAGGTACTCTCCAGTTCCAGGAAAACAATCCGTTTTCATGGCATTGCAGGTCCCCTCTCCCTCCCACCTCCCAATCCCCGGTTGCTGAAGGGGTGAAAAACCCTTCAGTCACTTACCTGAGACCCCCGCCGATGTCCCTCGGCGGTGGGTTCAGGTCGCCGCCGCTCCTCCTCTGCATTACTTCGGCCGGTGGTCGAGACTGATCCCGCCCGCCGGCCGGGGAGACCTAATGCGCATGCACTGCAATGCCGCGCATGCGCATTAGAGCTCCCCATAGGAAAGCATTGAAAATGCTTTCCTATGGGGAATTGAGCAATGCTGGAGGTCCTCACACAGCGTGAGGACATCCAGCGATGCTCTAGCACAGAAAATCTGTGCTAGAGACACGGAAGTGCCCTCTAGTGGCTGTCTAGTAGACAGCTGCTAGAGGTGGAGCTAACCCTGCAAGGTAATTATTGCAGTTTATAAAAAGTGGGAGTTGGCACCCAGACCACTCCAATGGGCAGAAGTGGTCTGGGTGCCTGGAGTGTCCAGCGTGTGCACCGTGGCACATACATCAGAAAGGTGAGTGCAGGATCATGGATACTATATAAATGTATATACACATACTTTGACTTAACATCAAATTTGTCCATTTACATTTTTGTAAATATATATTTTTTAAAAGTCTTAGGTGATCTGCACAAGGTTTTTTTACTTTGTTAGTGGTAGCTTTGTGTAGTTATTTAATTTTTTTTTTAATTTTTTTTGCCATTTCATTCAGTTTGTTCTATGGCAGGAGGGCCCAAAAGGGAGATCCCTGGATGTTTTAAAACTACAGCTTCCATGATGCGTTGTCATTCCAAAGGCATGAAAAAATGAAGAAGAGGGTTGCACTCACTCACAGAATTATACACAGGGTGCTAAACTGAGCATGGGCCAGCATATCCCGTATAATCTACACAGAAGAGAAAACAGTCTCAGACACTATTTTTTCTTATCTAAAGGAAAGCAAGGCATCTTGGGAGTTGTTGTTCTACAGCAGGGGTGCCCAAAAGATAGATCCCCAGATGTTTTAGAAGTACAACTCACATGATGCTTTGCATGTCTTTAGAATGACAAAGCATGATGGAAGTTGTAGTTTTAAAACATCTGGGGATCTACCTTTTGGACACCCCTGTTCTACAGCATCGGGTGATCTACATTTTAGGCAGCTCTGTATATGGTAATTACATTTTTGTTAAAAAGTTTGGTTTAGGCTACAAGCCCCTAAAGTGCTAACTTTGTTTTTCAGTTACTGGGATTTTGCTGCTCGAGGGCAGCTCCCTTCCTATGGAATAGCCTGCCTACTGCCATCAGACTCTCCCCTAGGCTTCAATCATTTAAGAAGTGCCTTAAAACCCATCTCTTCAGGAAAGCTTATGGCCTCCCAGAGTAACCTCTACCTTACATTCCTGTCTCTTGTTCTTTCATAAAGGGCAGCACTTTACTCTCTCCTCCAGCTCTATTACACTCCCACCTTATTTTAATTGCTATTTCTGTCCTAATGTGTTTTACACCCCACCTCCTATAGACTGTAAGCTCGTTTGAGCAGGGCCCTCTACAACCTATCATTCCTGTAAGTTTTCTTGTAATTGTCCTATTTATAGTTAAATACCCCTCTCATATTATTGTAAAGCGCTACGGAATCTGTTGGCGCTATATAAATGGCGATAATTATAATAATACAGGGAGTGCAGAATTATTAGGCAAGTTGTATTTTTGAGGATTAATTTTATTATTGAACAACAACCATGTTCTCAATGAACCCAAAAAACTCATTAATATCAAAGCTGAATATTTTTGGAAGTAGTTTTTAGTTTGTTTTTAGTTTTAGCTATGTTAGGGGGATATCTGTGTGTGCAGGTGACTATTACTGTGCATAATTATTAGGCAACTTAACAAAAAACAAATATATACCCATTTCAATTATTTATTATTACCAGTGAAACCAATATAACATCTCAACATTCACAAATATACATTTCTGACATTCAAAAACAAAACAAAAACAAATCAGTGACCAATATAGCCACCTTTCTTTGCAAGGACACTCAAAAGCCTGCCATCCATGGATTCTGTCAGTGTTTTGATCTGTTCACCATCAACATTGCGTGCAGCAGCAACCACAGCCTCCCAGACACTGTTCAGAGAGGTGTACTGTTTTCCCTCCTTGTAAATCTCACATTTGATGATGGACCACAGGTTCTCAATGGGGTTCAGATCAGGTGAACAAGGAGGCCATGTCATTAGATTTTCTTCTTTTATACCCTTTCTTGCCAGCCACGCTGTGGAGTACTTGGACGCGTGTGATGGAGCATTGTCCTGCATGAAAATCATGTTTTTCTTGAAGGATGCAGACTTCTTCCTGTACCACTGCTTGAAGAAGGTGTCTTCCAGGAACTGGCAGTAGGACTGGGAGTTGAGCTTGACTCCATCCTCAACCCGAAAAGGCCCCACAAGCTCATCTTTGATGATACCAGCCCAAACCAGTACTCCACCTCCACCTTGCTGGCGTCTGAGTCGGACTGGAGCTCTCTGCCCTTTACCAATCCAGCCACGGGCCCATCCATCTGGCCCATCAAGACTCACTCTCATTTCATCAGTCCATAAAACCTTAGAAAAATCAGTCTTGAGATATTTCTTGGCCCAGTCTTGACGTTTCAGCTTGTGTGTCTTGTTCAGTGGTGGTCGTCTTTCAGCCTTTCTTACCTTGGCCATGTCTCTGAGTATTGCACACCTTGTGCTTTTGGGCACTCCAGTGATGTTGCAGCTCTGAAATATGGCCAAACTGGTGGCAAGTGGCATCGTGGCAGCTGCACGCTTGACTTTTCTCAGTTCATGGGCAGTTATTTTGCGCCTTGGTTTTTCCACACGCTTCTTGCGACCCTGTTGACTATTTTGAATGAAACGCTTGATTGTTCGATGATCACGCTTCAGAAGCTTTGCAATTTTAAGAGTGCTGCATCCCTCTGCAAGATATCTCACTATTTTTGACTTTTCTGAGCCTGTCAAGTCCTTCTTTTGACCCATTTTGCCAAAGGAAAGGAAGTTGCCTAATAATTATGCACACCTGATATAGGGTGTTGATGTCATTAGACCACACCCCTTCTCATTACAGAGATGCACATCACCTAATATGCTTAATTGGTAGTAGGCTTTCGAGCCTATACAGCTTGGAGTAAGACAACATGCATAAAGAGGATGATGTGGTCAAAATACTCATTTGCCTAATAATTCTGCACTCCCTGTAATAATATTACATCCCCAGTCTATTTCTTTTTTCTTTTTACCAAACAGTGGATATTTATTTTGAACTAATTTATTTAGTTTTTTTAATAATAATTAAGGATTTCATTTTTAGAGTTGTTAGTGTTTCCTATATTCTATATTATACTTTATTTTGAAATTTAGGAGACATGCCCCTTTATTCGATTCTTTCTTTTTCTATGAATGATTATTCATTTTGTACAGCTATAACAAATTATGTTTTTGTATATTTGCCATTCAAAAGGATGTCCCTTATTGCAATATACTGTGGGTATTTAAAAGTTAATAATGATTATTGTTTTGGTATAAATTTGACTCCCACAGAATGATTGGTTACACTTGAGAAAGCCCCATTTCAAGAGACAAAACTAGTCGTGGTGACGGCGATGTCCAAAATGGAGAAAAGTCAAAAAAGTTAATTTTATGTCAAGTTGGAGGTCTGCACCTGATATTTTTTAGCTGGAAAGTCGCCTTGTATAGCTACATTTGTGCTACAGAGGCAGAAGACATTTTTTCCCTGTAAGATGATTTTGATGGTATTTTATGTGAAATAAAGCGCTTGAATCTGGATTGCTGGTGCTCCTGTCATCCTTGTGTAAGATCTGATTTTGTTCCCTTGGATCTAATAGTCTCAAGGGCTTGATCCTCCTGGCGTTCAGCTATGTGAATGACAAATAGCCACTAATGCCTTATAAATTAATCCATTAAGGATTATTGTTTGAGGAAATGTTTTTTACATTAATACACTATATGTTTTTTGTGTTTAATTTTCAGATACAGCTTATAATATTTTGGGCACCAATATTTTTGTTGTTGTTTAATGGTAAAGTTTTCTTGTCGATGCCAAGCACTGTTAGTTGCTGCATTGTATACCACTTAACTATTTTATTATACTATTGCTCCTAAATTTATATTACATAAGGTGTTCTTTTTTTTTAACAAAACATTATATTTAACATTTTTACATTAATTTTGAGAGACGATTTTAGTCACCTTATTAGTGGATTTATCTGAAATATAATAACAGAATAACAGAACTAATATTCACGTACCTTTTTCACTTTTTGGAAAAACAGCAGTTAATTCGCTGTTGTCTACGTCAATACACAGTTTTGCTGCAATGGAAAGAAACAAAAAGGATAAGATAAGCAGCCCCGGTGGGTTTACAAACGTCCATTGCAGAAGGGCGAGACAATCGGGGGATTGATCACTCAAGTATGAATTATCGAGAATTCAGCTTGAACAGGAAACAAATGTTTAAATTTAGGTCAAAACAGAAAAGAACCAGACAATTTACATGGTTCTATTTGAATGCCCTAAAATTCTTACCTTAGTGCAAGGGTTTCCAACCCATTCCTCAAGTACTACCTACCAGTCCAGGATTTAGAGATTACCCTGTTGTGTCTAAAGTGTTTTATTTCTTTTCTAAAAAGACCTTAGACACAATTGGGTAATCCTTAAATCCTGGACTGTAAAGGGGTACTTGAAGATTTGGCTGTTTGTTGGAGATAACATCTCCTAAATAAATCAATAAATATTTTTTTATAGTGGTTTATAGTGGTTTTCAATCTTGTTTGGAACCATTGGAAGGGAGGCCTGGCCAGTCATGACTTCAGAGCACCTGGGTTATTTGGTAAGTGTGGTATCCAGTACGTGTCTACAAGACACACTTCAGTCACAGAAAAATGTCCATGACACATCTACTTTATTGTTCTTTTTACCTAATCAGTAGCTTAAATTGAACCTGTCATGACAGATATAGGTTTGCTGTTTTCTAACTCATGTTAACCCTTGACTCATGTTAACAATTAAGAGTTTCTTCCCTTAAAGGGACACGATAGTCACCAGAACAACTACAGCTTATTGTATTTGTTCTGGTGAGTATGGTCATTACCATGAGGCTTATTGCAATAAACACTGTTTTTTTCAGAGAAAATGTAGTGTTTATATTACAGCTTAGGCTAGGAATACCTCTACTAGCCACTCATCAGATGGCTGCTAAGTGCTTCCTGGGGTGCTGCAGAGTGAGCAGCACTGCCATTCAATGTCTCCACCCTCTGCATGCAGACACTGAACTTTCCTCATAGAGATGCATTGGTTCAATTCATCTCCATGAGGAGAAGCTGATTGGCCAGGGCTGTGTTTGACTTGTGTTGGCTTTGCCCTTGATCTGCCTCCTTGACAGTCTTAGCCAATCCTGTGGGGAAGTGTTGTGATTAGCTCAGACCACCACTTCTGATTATGTCAACAGACAGAGTCAATTTAGGGGCAGATGCTACAGCGGCAGCCTTGAATACAAGTAAGATTTTACTATATTTAGGGAGTCAAGGTGGGGCCAGGGGAGCTAGATGGTGGTTTTAACACTGTAGGGTCCAGAATACATATTTGTGTTCCTGACCTATAGTGTTCCTCTAATACTATTAGAAGCTCATATGCTAATGTATACCCATTATCCCTGTCTCCTGCTGAGTGCATCAAACATGTTTTTCAGTGGGTGTTACATTTACTCTAAAACATAGCTCTCCTTTATAACCCTGTTTGGGAAGCACAATCTTGCATTCCATAACAGGTGAAAGTCTCCAACACTTTATGTTGGTTTTATGGTATGTAAATAAACCTTATCTGTTCTCCCTCACCCTCTGCATTCTCAGATTGTGAGTCCAAAACTAAATCACACTGACTTTTTATCCGCTGCTACTGAGTCTTTAACACAGAGTCTGCCCCTCTCCATCCTTCCTATTGCAAACATTGTGTTCCCTTAACTTTTTTATCTCTGTACCAATAGGCACAGAAAAAAATGAATGCCCTTTTTTCATCTCTTATTTGAAAGAAATCTGTTCAGTTCTGCAAGTACAATTTATATTGCCTATGCCATGAAAGGTATGTTATAGTGAAGATGGTTTTAAATGTGAAGCCTTTCTTTTAATAACGTAGTATTAAAAAATAGGCAACCCTTAGTTATTTGTAAAAGGCCAAAATAGCCGAACTTGATTGATTTGTAGATATAAGTTGTATTTGCCATGAAAGGTATGCTTTAGTCAAGTTGGATTTAAATGTGAAGCTTTCCTTCTAATTCATAGTATCAAAAAGGGGTAGCACTTATACATGCTGGGGTGTCCACTAAATTTTTAAATGTTTGAGATTCAAAGTGAATTTCACATTTTAGGACAAAGTAGCGAAACTTAAAACTTGGTTGGTTTGTAGATATTTTCCATTTAGCTATTGTGACCTAACATTAGAAATTCACATGAATCCAGTTTGAATTTCTGGCAATTCACAGTTCAGTAACCAATCCAGTAGGATTAGTTTGCCTAATCTAAGTAAAGAATAGATTCACCTTAATTACTAAACGTCATGCCACATATACTCAAACTGCGAGAGATGCGAGTGTCTCCCAGGAAAGGGATCCAAATCTTTCTGTTCAGTGAACATATTACTTGCTGCTGTTTAATGGATAATAAGGGAATTCCTTCAAGTAGTGCTCTACCTACGCTAGGTTCGCTCTTTTTATTTGCTGTCCATAAACATCAAAATTAAAATTATGTCTAAGAAGACATGGTAAATTTGCCAAAGTTAGATTTCATTACATAACGCACACCTGCAACGTCTGGCTGTGCCAACTTCAAAAGTAGCACATGCTCGTTTGTGTACTTGAATGCAGATGAATTTAAAATGTGTATTATAGCAGAACAAGTAACACACTCTATAATGCACACTTTATTTACCAAATACTTACATCCATTTGATTCACTTGTGCAATTATTATTTCTAAAATTCTCCAAGACCTGATTGACTTTCTGAAGTATCTCCTCATACTGTTTAATCACAGACTCATTTTCATTATATTCAGCCTCAACAATCACCTCGTGCTTAACATAGACAGAGCCCTGGCTGCAAAGAAATAAACAAAGTCTGGTAAAATGTAAAAAAAAAAAAAAGCTACAAATATAGAATAAACCCAAATAAATCTATACTGATTTTTTAAATATATATATATATATATATATATATATATATATATATATGTGTATGTATGTATGTATATATATATATATAAATAAATATATAGCTTGCAACTAATCATGGCAGTCTATACAAATGGGTTAGCTCCACCCCTTACAGCCAACAGGACAGGAAAACACCATTCCTAAGGTCCTCGGTTTTCTTCCTGTCCTACAGCCCTTCGGATGGTAGAATTTTGCTCCCTTTACTTATGGGCATGTATGTCTTTATTACTTTATTTTGGGTTTACTATTTGCTGTGGTGCCTTTATTCTGTGGTACCTTTATATTATGGAGTCTTAATACTGTGGTGTCATTAAACTGTGGTGCCTTATCAAGTTGTGCCTTTAAATCACATTGTAGACACTTTTACTTTACATTTTAATCACATTGCAGACACTTTTACTTTATTTCGTATGCTCCCCCTCAGTCCAGGCAATTTTTTCCCAGGTCCCTGGGTGTTCAGGGGCCATTTATGCTGCAGATCAAGCTCTCTACCCCATCTCTAACCTGCAAATGTGCAGTTTGTGTCTTAATGGGACAATACCGATGACTTGCATTATGGGAATACAAGTCGCTGCGACCATATTGGATTAGGGCAAGTGCCAGAAAGTACCAAAAATGGAGGTAAAATTATAGTAAACATCCCAAACTTATTTTGGAAGGTATTTGCAGGTTCTCCAGACATGGGTAAGTGCTGATTGCAGAAAGTTTTAAATCTGTTTGACTGTTTCACTGTTTGGCAGTGCTCTTTATACTTTAGTACTTTGCTACAGGTGATATTTATTTTTTATTTATTTGATTGTTTGCTTGATGTCTGAATCTACACCATTTCTGGTTGTGATGGTTAAGCAGTGGAAGGAAAGCAGTTATGCTTTGACTGTGTTCAGAAAGTAGCCCCTTCAGCATCACTTATACCTGCGCAGCCAGAGGACATGTGAGCATGGTTTATAAAGGAATTTGCAAGGTTTTCAGAGGCCTTAAAGGTACGAAACAGAGGCCATGCTTTACTCTGTGGAGGAAGGTACTTCCACACTCTGGATAGGTGGATACACCTATTTTCAGGGTAGCACGTGGGACGATGCTACCGCTTTACAACTCTGCTTTTTAATGCAAGCCTATGGATCAAAAATTTGATTCAGACCTTTCCAAATATATACACCTGCCGGTGCAAGATGTCATCCAGTTTTAGCTTTCACTACTGTCTCTAGAGCCATGAAAAGTGTGATTAAAGATCTTAAAGAAATTGGGGAGGAGGGGGAGCAATGACGTAGCATACTGCTACGCTCTTGGGTTTAGCGGCGGACGAGGATCAATAGAGGGAGAACACCACGGCTTCTGAAGTGCTTCAGAAGTTATTTCCTGCAGGAGGATCTATGGTAGACGGCACCGGGCTAAAATTCTCCCACAAGCGCCCTGTATATCACTTCAGGGTCACGTATGGGCTTGGAAGCTGGGATTTCAGGACGCTTTTAACGGAGAGACAGATGATTTATGCATGCTGAAGGACTAATTAAGGGGCATGTCCGTTTATACTGGCAATAAGAATTTGTATTACGGAGAACGCTGGACCCTGCGAGGGGTGAAAGATCCTGTCTAAATAACAGATCCTTTACTAAGAAGAGTGTTTTTTTGCCATATTCCAAGGACACGTGAGTGAAAGGAAGCTCTCTAAAATAAAAGGGAAGAGAAAGAGATAAAAAGGAAAAAAGGGAAAAACAGAAAAAGTAGAAACAGTAAAAGTAGAATTTATTTGATGACTTGTTTTGTTATAGATCACTAAACTGTGCCTAATCCCCGGTGCCTCTCTCAAACCTTGCTCCCTTTCACTCCCTTGTGTGGCAGTATATCTTCATGAAAGGAGGGGAAGGTCGTGAGAGTGAAAGAGAGAAAGTTAATAATATAACAACAACTCTGTATAATAGCAACCCAGGGCACCAGGATTGCAATATTATACTTTAAGAGTAACACAGAAGTCAGAGACAGTAACTCTGTAAAATAGCAATATAGAGCTCTCTGGCAGAAATATCTATCTCACAGAATAATATAACAGCAACTCTGTATAATCTGTACAACCAGCAATACAGAGTTCATAGTCATTAATTCTGCATTACAGCAACATTTAGCTTGGAGACAGTAACTCTGTAAAATAAGCCTTTATAAAACTCTGCAAATTAAATCTATCGTGCTCTGTTAAATAACAGCACATACGAGAAATCAAATCTATAAAATAGCAATATAGAATGGTAAATTTTCAAGATGGACAGAGGTGGCAAGTGGTGTCCCCCAGGGGTCTGTTCTGGGACCCCTTCTATTTAACATGTTTATAAATGATCTTGAAGACCGCATTGAAAGTCATGTTTCAGTGTTTGCAGATGACACAAAACTTTGTAAAACATTACAATGTGAGCAAGATATTACTTTGCTGCAGAGGGATTTAGATAGACTGGGGGACTGGGCACTCAAATGGCAGATGAAGTTTAATGTTGAAAAATGCAAAGTTATGCACTTCGGCGTAAAGAATACACATGCAACGTATACCCTTAATGGAAGCGAATTAGGGATAACAACACACGAAAAGGACTTGGGAATTGTTATAGACAACACACTATGCAACAATGCTTGGAAATCTGTAGAATACTGTACATAATTTTGTTGTTTTTCTTTTGGTTTTCTCTTTTTCCCCTCATTTTTTCCCTCATTTTTTTTTATGTAATAAAATGGTAGCTAGAAAAGCTCAAGAAAAAAAAAACGTCAATCAGCTGTGGCCAAGGCCAGTAAGGTATTGTCATGCATGAAAAAGGGCATTCATTCCCAGGACAAGAATATCATTTTGCCTCTTTATAAATCACTGGTAAGACCACATATTGAATATGCTGTGAAATTTTGGGCACCTGTTCTAAAGAAGGATATTATGGCACTAGAAAAAGTGCAGAGGCGGGCTACAAAATTAATAAAAGTAATGGAACATATCGGCTATGAAGAAAGGTTAACAAATTTAAACCTATTTAGTTTAGAAAAACATTGCCTGAGAGGGGATATGATAACATTATACAAATATATTCGGGGCCAATACAAACCATTGTGTGGAAATCTATTCACAAACCGGACTTTACATAGGACACGAGGCCATGCGTTTAGACTGGAAGAAAGAAGATTTCGTCTAAGGCAAAGGAAAGGTTTTTTTACTGTAAGAACAATCAGGATGTGGAATTCTCTGCCTGAAGAAGTGGTTTTATCAGAGTCCATACAGATGTTCAAACGGCTACTAGATGCATACTTGCAAGAACAGAATATTCAAGGATATAATCTTTCAATGTAGGGTAATAACTGCTTGATCCAAGGATAAATCTGACTGCCATTCTGGGGTCAAGAAGGAATTTTTTTCCTAGCTTGTTGCAAAATTGTGCTTCAAACTGGGTTTTTTTGCCTTCTTTTGGATCAACAGCAAAAAACAAATGTGAGGTAGGCTGAACTTGATGGACGCAAGTCTCTTTTCAGCTATGTAACTATGTAACTCCCTCATGGAAATATTAATTACACAGACAGTAACTAAAAATATAACAACAACTTTAAGAGGTGAGAGAAGGAGCTACTTATATAGATTGCCTCGAGCCTGGAAAAGCTTGGAAATCTGTAGAATACTGTACATAATTTTGTTGTTTTTCTTTTGGTTTTCTCTTTTTCCCCTCATTTTTTTTTACGTAATAAAATGGTAGCTAGAAAAGCTCAAGAAAAAAAAAACGGAGGACGAAAATGAACCACTGGAGAAACGTTTATCCTTTTTCTCACCTCAACCTTTGAAAATAGGGGACCAAAGTAACCCTCTGGATGAAACAACGAAGAGACTTCCCCAGGATTATTACATCCTCATTACAAGATAAAAGGAAATGTGGGGTTGCACATCTCTATATGTGTAGAACATAGATCTGTGTATAAAACATTCTGAACAAGATACGGAAGGGAGATACATAATAACGATATGTATGATAAACAATGTTCATTATACATTAGTTAATACCTATCTACCAATCGCTGCACCATTGAAATTGATATCTCTAATTTTGGGAAAGATTGAACAAGATAAAACAGGGACAAATCATTTCGATGGGTTACTTCAACTGTGTAATGGACCTTAGGCTTGATAAACAAACAATAAAAGACAGTCTGTCTGATAAAGATGTTTATATACAAGCATCTAAATTTTGTTCCTGTGCCCAGAGGAATTCACTGGCATAAATTCCATACTAAAGCGCGAGACTACACGTGTTTTTCTGGAACCTATCTTGCTTATTCGAGAATTGACTACATTCTGACAGATATAAATTCCATTCAAAGAGTCAAAAAAAATTGACATTGAAGATATTACGTGGTCAGGTCACAATATAGTCATTTTGGAATTAAAGCATAAATTTATTAAATAACGACCAGAATGAAAACGTAAAGAATTTTTATTAGAATCAACACAAAATAGAGAAGCTATTAAAAAAAATATATATATTAACTTCCATTTTCAAGAAAATTCCTCTAATGATTTATCTCCAGCTACAATATGGACTGCTTTCAAATGTTTGATATGGGGTAATTTTATAAAATTAGCCTCTCAAACTAAAGAACTTAGAGAAAAAAAGCTTTCTGAACTATATATTAAGCTATAAAATTTAACTTGAAGTAATAAAATTAATCCTACAAATAATATCTCAAACCAGATTGATGATCTTAAAAAAAAACTATTAATGAAAAAATAATTATTTAAACATCTAAAAAGAAACTAGAGAGACTGAAATCTTATCAATATTATAAGACCAATAAAGCTGATAAGATGTTAACTAATAAATTGAAAAGCTTTCAAAAAGCAAAAACTTTATCTAAAATAATTTATAACAATGAGACACTCTTATCCCATGATAAAATTGCTAAAGCAGAAATTATTGACCATTCAAAATCTAATAAAGCACCCGGACCTGATGGTCTGACAGCTATGTTTTATAAATTATTTTAAGAAGAGATGGCGCCATATCTACAGATTACATTTAATGAATTTGCCAAAAAAGGCAGCCTTTCAGAAGATCTACTAAGAGGGAATATTGGTGCGCAACAACAAAAATCGTATTCACTATGGACCTCTTATAGCGAGTGAAAGTAACCCCGTGTTCATAACATGAGGTGTATACAGAGTGGGAATATTATAAGTAATTGAAACACAAACAGTGATTGTGGTAAAATAAAGCACAATCTGTAGGTATACTTGCAAACATGGAAATCACTCTGACACCTATTAAAGAGACAAAAACAGAAAGAGAGCTCCTAGTGCAGCATAGTAATTCGCTTATAAATAAAATAAAGCAAACAGAGGTGCCCTTTAGGTGTTACACTCACAAGATTGGAGTGGTAAAAGCACCACTCGTTGCTATAGCACTCAGGGAGGATCAGCCCCTAGAGTGCGTTGGATCCATGGAAAAGAAGCTTGCAATCCGGATCTCAGGTAAGTATACTTTATTAATAGCAATTTAAAAACAGCAAAACTTGTTGTGGAGGTAGATTTGACATGCATTTGTCTTTTAGTCTCATGAATAAAGGTTGGAATTATTCCTCAATTGAGCCTAGAAAATGGTCTGAGTTATAACACTCTAGAGGTGCACATATCAGCACTTTCCACATTGATGGGTACCCATAGGGCATTGGAGCTCCTCGTGATTTGCTTTATGAAGGCAGTGATTAAACTCAGGCCTACACCAAGGGTGTTCATGCCAACATGGGGCCTACCCCTGATCTTACAAACTCTGACTAAACGATCATTTGAACCTCTAGGAGCTTCCTTTATGGTGTTGTTAGCACAAAAGGTGCTGCTGCTGGTGGCTAGTACCCCAGAAAATAGAATGTGTGAACAGGATATGGTTGCATCACCCAGTACCAGAGATCCTGCCTAAGGTAATATTCAAATTCCACTTGTACCGGGAGCTTGTGTTATCTTATTTTTTTACCCTTATCCTTCTTCTGCAGAAGCACAGACCTGTCATTATCTGGATGTGGTTAGAGCTCTCATCCTTTATCTTGAAAGAACCAGCTCTTTCCATAAGTAATCTAGACATTTTGTTCTCCCACTTGGCCACAAAAAGGGCGAAGTGGCCTCCACCTTCACCTTGAGACAGTGGGTGGTTGCAGCCATCTCAAAGGCTTATCAATACCATTTTCTACCTGTACTGAAGGGTATCAGTCACATTCCACTCGTGCAGTTGTAGCATCTTGGGCTTCTGTGGTAATGGTTTCTCTTGACAATTTTTGTAAAGCTGGCACTTGGCATTACATACTGAATGTTAAAGCAGCCAATGAAGCGCTATTTGGACGTCAAGTCTTTAACTCAGTTCAATCTTCTATTCTCTGTTGAATTGTTCTAAATATTTTATTTGCAGTTATTTACGTTTCTATCCCTCCCTTTGAAGCTTGGGTATTCCCATTTGTATAGGCTGCCATGATAAACCAGGAAAGTGGAAAACGTATTCATACTTACTGTCATTTTCTTTTCCTGACAGCATATACTACCCACCCATTAAGATGACTCTATCTACGGTAGAGCTTGACACTGACTGAGGACCTTAGGAATGGAGCTTCCTTTTGGAGTCTTTGGTGTTTTTCCTGTTCTATCGGCTGTAAGGGGCTAAACTAACACATTTGTATTTGCTGCCATGCATAATAGCCAGTATGAATAAATTTTCCACTATAAGTGATAGTCTGGCATTTTACTTATCGAAAGGAAAACAAAAACAAAATTTGATATCTGCGTGCTTCCCAGTGCAATTTAAAAAAACAAGAGCACTCTCTGGAACCTGCCAAACCAAAATGTCATGTATTAAATAAATATAAGATCAATGTATTAACCAATCAGGGTCTTTATCAAGGATGTTTGTAATGGAGCTACCATATACAACCTGAGTATCTCCGTTAGTTAGCCTCCCTTACTCAGCTCGGACGTCCTAAGTGACTAGTAGTAGTAATTCCAAACAGTCAAAACTTAATGATGAAGGGAAAAACAGACACACTTTATGGAAACATAGATACCACATGTGGCGAAAGTGACCTTGCCACTGGTTTTTGGAGGGGACTACTTGCCAGATTTTTACCCTATGACTACAGCCCCTTTAATTTATTTTGATTAAGAGACCCTAATTGTGCCTATTGGGACTGTGAACAATGGCTCTTCGAACTTTCGAAGTGGTCGAAGTGGCACTTCGGCTACAGTCAAAGTTTCAAAGTGTCGAAGTGGTCGCCATTCGACAGTCGAACACGTGGCGGCGGCCATCTTATTTGGTCGAAGTGTTCAGCAGTGTTTTGTCGTCGAGTTCATGGAACTCAAATCGGACACATGACGGCACGAACACCGCTGAAAAGTTACCTTCCAGGGAACTTCGACAATTTGAACGTGAGTCGAACAGTGTTCGGTGAGTCGAAACAAACAAACAAGGGACACACATTGACTATGCTCATTCACTATTTCATTCAGTAATTCGAACTGTACTTCGACAGTTGGAAATAGACCAGCCGCACAGCTTAATTCTCTGGAACTGTTTTGGGCATGAAATCATGAGTGCGGTCGGTCAGAAAGAGACTTCCAGGAATTTCCTGAACCCCTGCTCTGGGTGATTTTTGGATATGTTGTTCACCTAGATCAGGGTTATCAGGGGAATATATTGTATTTTGGGGTACTTGTGCTACTTTATAAAAATGTGTTTTTTTTGCCGTGGGATAATTACGTTAATACATTATCTGCCTTAATTATATCACAGACAGAGGGTAGGAATTGTGTACTGTATGTAGGAGTGTCATTTATTACCACATTGTTTTTATTGGCTTGTATACGTTGTGTCCTCTGGCCAACAAGGTCCACCTAGGTGTCACCCTTGTTGGAAAACTTGCATAAAAGGCCAGTGTGCCGCCATTAAAATTGAGTTCCTGTTTTACCTCAACGTAGAGCCTTGTCTCATGTGTGGGAGGAAAGGCTGTATCTACCCTGGGGATTGCCATATCACTATACTCCCCTGGGATTATATAACCACTAGCTCTTTTAAGAGCTGTTCCTGCTACCCTCTCTGGAGTAGGAGAGGTTCACTCACTGGAAGCTGGATCCTGGTGGGCGGAGGAAGGCGAGTTCCTAGCCAAGCTGTAATGCTGGACGTGGGGACTGCAGTGCTGATGGTGTCTGGTGGAGTGCTTGGAGGTCTCGGTAAGCACTAGGAGCATCCGTCGGTGGACGTACCCAACCGGGGTACAGGAAGCTCAGTTACAGCACATTTATACTGTTTTAAATGTATATTCACCATCCAGGGGGAGATTAACTAATTAAAAGGAACAATCTCTTCCTGTAGCCTCTAAGTTTGGGACTGATACACCCCCATGGTGAGTCCTTTCAGGGGTAGAATAGTGGATATATGTGGTGCACAGACCCCCTGGTTGAAAGCACCCACAGTTTGAGGTTAAACCCAAGGGTTTACCCTCTCTACCAGCTCCTGTCCCTCTTTGCACGTATAGTGTCCAATCGCCACCCTGTTAAAGATTTTCTAAGCCATGATCATTCTCAGATCCGGAATTCAGTCCCACGGGGTTGACTCTGAATTCCAAGCTACCCCTGGACCTCAGTTAGTGTTTTTGCAATTGAGTAGAGGTCAATTGACTGCATCTGATGCAGTCTAGGGGGCAGTAGGGCTGGGATAATTATATTTCTAAGTCACAAAGAGTTCTCAGTGACAATTTTATTTAATACATGCTAATTTGGTTTGGTATATGCCAAAAAGTGTTCTTGTTTTTTTGTAATATATATCTACCCATTAAGATGACTCTGTTATGTACAACAGCTTTGAAACACAACTTAGGAAAAGATGTAAAGCCAGTGAACCACTCGTTGACAGCTATTTCAGTGTTAATGCAAATCATCAGAATGAGATTGGTTACTGGCTTGCTATTGAGGCTGGCTTTGCATGTTTTCCTAAGTTGTGTTTCAAAGCTGTTGTACACAGCAAACACAGACTCAAAGGAATCCACGTTTAAAATGGAATGAGGCAAAAATGCGAATTCTTTGTTTAACTAATTTGCATATGCCCACCCAGAATCCTTTGCAGTAGTAACATCACTGCAAATTTGTGTATATATATATATATATATCACATGGGATCCTGCACACAGGCTCAAATACTTATCAATTTGAGGGGTGCAATGCCATGGCCTGTAAATATCCAGAATAGTCAAAAGTTAGCTGCACTCACGTTCTTCCATAAAATCAATTCTGTTTTTTTTTTTTTAAATGTAAATAATGAAACGCATGCATTTAACTCTATATTTAAGATTAAATGGATGAGTTTCATTATTTACCTTTTTCAGGTACTCCAGAACATATATATAGGGACTTGTGGTTTACCCTACTGTTTATAGGTCATTATTTTTCGGGTAACCTACCTCAAACTAATGACTATCACATCTTTATATCCAGGTAGATCTTTATAGAATACTTGCATCTGTAACAAAGATGGGGGAGAGGTGAAAGGTTATACTGTGCAACTGATGTATAGATTGCTGAACGATTCACATACTTTGATCACGTTCTCACCTCTAATTTAAAATTCTTTATGAATTCATAGTATTCATGCGAGCCAGTTTGACTCAAGACAGATGTATAATTCATGTTAGTGATTCTCAGGTTCACTATGACAGTGGTATTAACTTTACCTGCCAGGAGAGAGATACAAAGTCAACTGTTAATTTAGAGCCAGCAGGTCATTTCTAGGGATGTTGATGGATCTGAGGTGGCCTGTACATTTCTCATGATCTGTCAAATTGAAACACTTACCACCAACCTCAACTCTGTCTACCACACTCTCACACGAGGGCCCATAAAACTGATCGAGGCAAATGCATTTAACTCCATCGTAGGTACCTCCATTGTGACACAAATCTTAAATAAAAATAATACAATTTGCTGTTCATTAAATTATTGATAGAAGATAGTAGAGAATAAAGAAATGCATAATAAAAGAATGACTTTTATATTGAGAACGTTTGAGAGATAGATAAACAACTCAGCTACACACAAAAACAAAAGTGAAACACTTGTTGTCAAAAAGCAGATTATCTGGGTTATTCACTAAACACCTTATATTGTCCGAATGGACAAAATCTGGTGAAAACAACGGAAAGCCAACTGCATTGGCAATTCTCATATTTATTAAAGCAAGTCAGGATTCCGCCGGTCTGTGAATTCATTGTATTCATCTGAGCTGTTTTGACTCAAGCCAGATTTATAATTCTTGTTAGTGATTCTAAGGTTCACTATCACAGTGGTATTATTTTTAATTCAGTTCAACTTTTAAGTTAGAGCCAGCATGTCATTGCTAGGAATGTTTATGGGTCTGTGGTGGCCTGTACATTTTTCATGATCTGTCTTCTCTAATATGATGATTACGTTATGAATTTGATTAATTTCTACCCTGTGGTGCTAGCTATAACACAATGCTGGCTCTAATCTTCTACAATTTCAAGATGTTTAGCACATATAATAATGCATGTATTATTGCTATGATGGTTTTATTTTTAATATTCAACTCAAGGTATTTTTCTTTATCTATCATCTTGTTTCCAGTTTATATAATCTGTATAATCAGATGCAAAGTTCTGGCTCTGATCTGGCTATCCTGTCAAACTGTCAACTTGAAACACTTACTGTCAACCTCAACGTTGTCCACCATGCTCTCACACGAGGGCCCATAAAACTGATCCAGGCAAATGCATTTAATTCCATCATAGGTACCTCCATTGTGGCACATAACTAAAAAAAAAAAAAAAAAAGTGCTGTAAATTAAAATGTGTATAGAAGATAGCAAAAAATAAGAAAGGCATGGTAACAGAATGAGGGATTTCTACTGATGTTTGACTGCTCAGCTAATACTTGGATAAGTGAATCCACATCAAGAGGTCACAAAAGATAAGAAACTCAGCTATTAATACAAACGTGAAACACTTGTTTTCAAAAGGCAGATTATCAGGTTTATTCACTAAACATCCGATTTTGTACGAATGGACAAAATCCTGTGAAAACAACCGAATGCCGACTGCATTGGCGATTCTTATATTTATTACGGCCAGCTGCAGTCAGGATTCGGTCGGTCTGTAACATTCATTTGAATGATTTCGGAAATTCAGTGATTTACACATCCAAACCAATCTACAGCACCAGAATTGCAGATTTATCAACGACTGCATGGCGGCTGATAATAAACTGAATAAATCCAGCAGGATGAGTTTTCATAAATTGTCATTCACTTGCTATTTGCAAGTGAATTGATAAATTGAAGAACTATTTGACACTAGGTCCCCTGTCCCTTAAAATGTAAAATAGCCCAATTCTATGCAAATAGGTGAGGGCAAATGATTGGGTTACTAGCTACTGTGTTGCAATGGCAATGTTTAGAAGACATGCCCGACCTGAACTTGTTGACTTTATATTTATTCAGTTTTTTAAAAGTAATGTTTGGCTAGCTAGCGCTGGCCAGCCGACACATAATTAACTCTCTCTCGCCACCTAGGGATTTCAACGATTTGTCCACTGGTTACTAGCACTGCCACCGGGCAAATTGTTTGGTGTTTTTTAATCCAGGCTCAGAATTGAATTCTCCGAGCCTGGATTTGTCGCATTTGGCCGGAATTTCAGCTGCTCAGTTGATTTCAGACAAAATCCAGATGCTGTTCAGGTCCTGAATGACAAAATCCGGACTTTGATGAATTCCGTCAACACTGTCCATTTTTTGCAGTCCGTATGTCCTTTATGTAGTCAGATGGTTTTGCTTCATTTGATTTTGGGCCATGTACTATATATTGAGCAACATCATTTATACACTAATCTCATGTGCATTGTCTCTAACACCATACGTGTAGCACTGTATTCCCATATCTTACTGCAGTGAAAGGATATCCCATGTTTCAAATACATTTTATGATAATATTTTTTTCAAATAACAATCGTTTGGTAGTGAAGGAGCTAACGAACCCTAACTTTAACTCTCAAAAATGACTAACTAACTCTTCCCCTACACCCCTGGGCCATTGCAGACTAGTATAGTGAAGAGAGGGTAGAGGAGACTCCCCCTGCTGCAGATCCTCTTCAACTCTTGCGAGCCCCATCTGTCAAAAGCATTGCTTTTGAAACCTGTGGCAATGTTCTGACGAGGAACCTGGAGTCTCCTGGGCTCCATCTTTCCTATATTGGTTAGGGTGCCACCAGACCTCTCTGGCAAAAGGGAAAAAGTAAAATATTAAATGACAATTAAAACTGCTCTCTCACATCAATACACAATCCCTATCCTTCCTACCTCAAAAATGTACACACATACTTTGTGTCCACTACACACACACTGCATCCACTATACACACACTGCATTCACCAAATACCTGTAGTTGTAGTTGTTGGTGAGGTGGTGGGAGATGCAAGAGCGGTAATTGTAAGTCTGGTGGTTTCTATGGTTGAGGTACTGGCGACTGGAGGAATCTGCGTTTGTGAAGCAGTTTCTGTAGATCCTTTTGATATTTAAAATAATATAAAAGATACTTAAAAAATATACATGTAGAGTAATATAATAAATATATGATACTAAAGCATTTATTAAAAGAAAGCAGAATGTCTGGGGTTTGGATACATACATTTACCACTCAAACTTTGGTCTTATGGTATATTTATCTATGTACATGTATAGGTAGATAGACAGACAGACAGAGAGAGAGAGAGAGAAAAAGACAGAGATATAGACAGCCAGCGGACATCGATACGTACCTCATTTGAGTGCATACCTGGTGCTTTTTCAGTAGTATTTACCACTCAAACTTTGTTCTTCTGTTATTTGTACATGTATATATATAAAGACAGACAGGCAGTCAGACAATTAGGCATCAATAAAACCTTATTTGGGTACCCACCTGGTGCTGCTACAGTATGGCTGGTAGTAGGATACAATGTAGAGGCAGTGGTTGGTGCAGCGGTGGTAGACAGTGGAACAGTATTTGTGATTGCAGTGGTTTCTTTGGGTGAAGTACTGGTGACAGGAGGGATGAGCGTTTGTGAAGCAGTTTCTGTAGATTTAAATTTAAATGTAATATACAATATACTTAGAAAGAGAGACATATAGAGCAATCAAAAAGATACATGGTACAAAAGCATTATTAAAAGAAAGCAATGTCTGGGGGTTGGAGACATACATTTACCTCTCAAACTTTGGTTTTATGGTATATTTATCTATGTACCTTGACATACAGACAGATAGATAAATAGATAGATAGATAGATAGGTCTTATGGTATATGTATCTTATCTGGGTACCCACCTAATGTTGTTACAGTATGGCTTGTAGTAGGATACAATGTTGAGGTGGTGGACGGTGTAGAGGCAGTGGTTGGTGAAGCAGTGGTAGACAGTGAAATAGTATTTGTAAGTGCAGTGGTTTTGGTGGGTGAAGTACTGGTGACAGGAGAGATCGGTGTTTGAGAAGAAGTCTCTCTAGATCCTTTTGATATTTAAATGCAATATAACAAATGCTTAGTAAACAATACCAGTAGATTAACATAACAAATATGTGGTTCTAAACATTTATTAAAGGAAAATAATGTCTCGGTTTTGGAGACATTCATTTACCACTTAAACTTTGACCTTATGTAATATTTTATCTATGTACATGGATAAATAGATAGGTAGAAAGACAGAGAGAGAGAGAGAGAAAGACAGAGAGATAGACAGACAGAGGACATCGATACATAACTCATTAGGTACACACTCAAACTTTGTAATTTTGGTATGTGTAGGTATGTACATGTATATACAGAAATAGATAGACAAAGAGACAGTTAGACATTGATAAATACCTTATCTGGGTACCAACCTTGTGCTGTTACAGTATGACTGGTAGTAGGATACAATGTAGTGGCAGTGGTTGGTGAAGCGGTGGTAGACAGTGAAATAGTATTTGTAAGTGCAGTGGTTTCTGTTGTTGAGGTTTTGGTGACAGGAGGGATCGACGTTTGCGAAGCATTTTCTGTAGATCCTTGTGATATTTAAATGTAATATAAAAGATACTTAGAAATTGATACATGTAGAGTAATATGAAAAATACATGGTACTAAAGCATTAATTAAAAGAAAGCAATGTCTGGGCAGACAGACAGACAGATAGGTCTTATGGTCTGTGGATGAAGTACTCATGACAGGAGGGATTGGTGTTTGTGAAGCCGTTTCTGTAAATGTAATATAACAAATACTTAGAAAAAGATACATGGAGATAAATATTATGATACTAAAGCATTTATTAATGAAAAATAATGTTGGGTTTTTGAGACATTCATTTACTAGTTAAACTTTGGTTTTATAGTATATTTATCTATGTGCATGTATATATAGATGTACAGACAGACAGAGTACCAGGTACCCACCTGGTGTTGTTACAGTATGGCTGGTAGTAGAATACAATGTTGTGGCAGGGGTTGGTGAAGCAGTGGTTGACAGTGGAACAGTATTTGCGATTGCAGTGGTTTCTGTTGTTGAGGTACTAGTAACTGAAGGACTCGGTGTTTGTGAAGCAGTTTCTGTAGATCATTTTATATTTAAGTATAAGATAACAGATACTTGGTAAAATATACATTTAGATTACTATAAATGATACATAGTACAAAAGAATTTATTAATGGAATGGAATGTCTAGGTTCAGGAGATATTCATTTACTACTCGAACATTGGCCATATGGTCTATGTACATGTAAATAAAGAGACAGACAGATAAGCAGGTAGGCAGAAAAGCAGATTTCGATAAAAACCTTTTCTGGGTACCCACCTGGTGGTGTTACAGTATGGCTGGTAGTAGTATACAATGTAGTGGCAGTGGTTTGTGAAGCGGTGGTAGACAGAGGAACAGTATTTGTAAGTGCAGTGGTTTTTGTGGGTAAAGTACTGATGACAGGAGGGATCGACGTTTGAGAAATCGTTTCTGTAGATCCTTTTGATATTTAAATGCAATTTAACAAATACTTAGTTAACAATTCATGTAGATTTATATAAATGATACATGGTACTAAAACACTTTTTAAAGGAAAATAATGTCTGGGTTTTGGAGACATCCATTTACTACTCAAACTTTGGTCTTATTGTATATGTATCTATGTTCATGTATATATAGAGATAGATAGACAGATAGACATACAGAAAGACATTGATAAGTTCCTTATATGGGTACACTCCTAGTGTTGTTCCAATATGGCTGGTAGTAGGATACAGTGTAGCGGCAGTGGTTGGTGAAGCGGTGGTAGACAGTGGAAAGGTATTTGTAAGTGCAGTGGTTTCTGTTGTTGAAGTTCTGGTGACTGGAGGGATCGGTGTTTGTGAAGCATTTTCTGTAGATCCTTTTCATAATTAAATTTAATATAAAAGATACTTAGAAAAAGATACATGTAGAGTAATAACCAATCTCGCCACATTGCATTGGAGAAGCCTGGTTGCTCGCCTGCTGCCTTTGGACTATGGCCCCCTGTTAAAAGACATCTTTTTTACCTGCAGAAAAGCTTCATTCATGCTTTTCTGCCTGGGGTTCGGTAGATTTGTTTGAATGTGTTATACCCCAGATAGGAATCCCATGGAGCCCATTCGTATGAAACTGACTGTAAAGACTTTGGCTCCATGGCGATTAAACTGTATTCGTGTGGTCTGAGCGCCATTCACTTAATAATGTGCGCTCAGACCTGAGCTATCTGGGGATATGTTAAATGTATAGTTTTAATGTAATGTGTCTTACCTGGTGTATTTTAACAGTAATGCTTGTTTTGTGTCACCATGTGCATAATGGAGTCTTGTCTCTGTCCTGGGAGATAATTTAATTACTTCTCAATTATCTCCTGGGCAGAGGAGAGGAAGCCAGGATGCATTGTGGTAAAAAGTATGTGTAATTGGGTTACCTCTCAGGATAAGGGGAGGGAATCTGTGGGTTGTAACTAATATGTTACTGGATATTTTATACCTCCCTGTGGGTGGTCCTGTATTTGCAAGACTGTAATAAAAACCAGGCTGGGTGTGCCAGCACCTCAGACCACTGCTTGACCCTCAACACGGAGCCTTGTCTCGTTCTTGGGGGGATTCACTGTATGCTGTTAGAGACTGATTGCCAGGAGTGTAAGCTGATTGTCTGCTTTTCCTGTTCGTCTGCTAGCAGCTATTTGGGAGGTTCCAGTTCGGGAGTTGGAGTGCTATTTTGTATCCAGTTTGGGAGTTTGGTGTTCTGCAGTAGCTGTGCCTGTATCTCTGGAAAGGGGGCCGATCGCCTAAACGGTTTTTACCCCTTGTGTGCAAAACGGTCCGTTACATGTATGATACTAAAGCATTTATTAAAAGAAAGCAATGTCTGTGTTTGTGAAGCGGTGGTAGACAAAGGAACAGTATTTGTAAGTGCAGTGTTTTCGGTGGGTAAAGTACTGGTGACCGGAGGGATCAGTGTTTGAGAAGTCGTTTCTGTAGATCCTTTTGATATTTAAATTCAATAGAAAAGAAACTTAGAAAAAGATACATGTAGAGTAATATAAAAGATGTGTTTGGAGACATACATTAACCACTCAAACTTTGCTCTTATGGTATATTTATCTATGTAGATGTATAGATAGATCAACAGACAGAGAGAGTGAGAGAAAGACAGAGACATAGACAGACAGAGGACATCAATACATACCTCATACGAGTGCACACCTGGTGCTTTTTCAGTAGTATTTACCACTCAAACTGTGTTCTTCTGTTATTTGTACATGTATATATAGAAATAGATAGAGAGACAGTTTGGCATCGATAAATGCCTATCTGGGTACCCACCTGGTGCTGTTACAGTATGGCTGGTAGTAGGATACAATCAGGGCCGGTGCAAGGATTTTTGCCGCCCTAGGCAAAAGAAAGATTTGCCGCCCCCCCACCCCCCGGAACATCGCAATGCCCCACCCATATGAACTAATGCCAGTGCTGCACACAGTGTGTGTTTACATTAAAAAGCCTGCAGGGACAAACTATAGACACCAGAACAACTTTATTAAGCTGCAGTGGTTCTGGGGACTATAGTGTCCATTTAATGTGAGGTAAATTAGAGATTAGTGTCACTAATAATATACTAGATTGCCTACTTACAATCAGATGAGGATGGTGATGGGCTCTGGCTGCAGTCTGGCTCCACTGGTCTGGTGTAGAACAGGATCTCTGGAGGCTGTTTGCAACTGTGGTCACAAAATTCAATGTTCTGGGAGAACGGGAAGCAGCTCCATTTTTGGGGCCTCTTACATAGCTCAAGGTCTGGGCCCCAGGGCCTGACGGTGAGTATGCCCATAAAGCCCACCCATAAGGCCACCTACATGTTCCACCCATGAACTCACAGGGAGTAGAGTGTGTAGGGGATGTGTTATGTGTTACTGTAGAGGATCTAATGTGTGTGCTTACGGAATGTAGTGTATAGGGATACCAGTTTGTGTAGGTGATGCAGTGTTGTTTGTGTAAGGGATAGAAAGCAGTGAGTGTTTGTGTATAAGGGATGTATTGTGTGTTTCTTGTTGTGTGTTAGGGATGCATTGTGTGAATCTGTGTTTGTATGCATAAGGGATGCAAAGTATGTTTCTGTGTATGTAAGGGATGCAGTGTGTGTGTCTGTAAGGGGTGTGTTGAGTGTGTGTAAGAGATGCATTGTGTTTCTGTGTGTGTGTGTAAGAGAAACAGTGTGTGTTTGCATGTGTGTGTAAGAGATGCATTGTGTGTGTTCTGTGTATATGTGCAAAGGATGCATTGTCTTTATGTGTAAGGGTTGCATTGTGTGTTTCTCTGTGTGTAAGGGAAGCATGTTGTGTTTCTGTGTGTATAGGGATGCATTGTGTGTGTGTGTGTGTGCGCGCGTGGTGTGAAGAGCTCCCTGTCCCCTGTCCTATAGAGCTCTCCCTTCCATTCCTTAGAGATCTCCCCTGCCCCTTAGTGGTCTCTCCTCTCCCCCCCACCTCCCTTGGTGGTCTCCTTTTCTCCCCGACTTTCCATTAGTGGTCTCTCCTCTCCCCCCCCCCTCCCCTATCCTCCACCCCCCTCCCTTAGCGGTCTCTCCACTGCCCCCTCCCTCCTTTAGTGGTCTCTCCCTCCCCTACTTTCTCATCTCCCACCCCTCGTGTTCTCCTCTTCTTCTCCCCCAGTGTTTTCCTCTTATTCCCCCCCCTCCCTGTGTTCTCCGCTTCTTCTCTCCCCTGTAATCTTGTCTTCTTCTCCCCTCCCCCCCGTAATCGCTTCTTCTCCCCGTAATCTTCTCTTCTTCTCCCCCGTAATCTTCTCTTCTTCTCCCCCCATAATCTTCTCTTCTCCCCATAATCTTCTCCCATCAATCATCTCCCCTCCCATCAATCATCTCCCCCTCCCATCAATCATCTCCCCCTCCTCCATCAATCATCTCCCCCAATCAATCATCTCCCCTCCTCCCATCCGTCCATCTCCCCATCTCCCCTCCATCTTCCCCCCCTCCATCCCATCAGGTGTCTCCCCCCCCTCCTCCCATCAAATCCTACCCCCCTCCCTCCATCATCATCAATCTCCCCTCCCTCCCATCAACTCCATCTCCCCCCTCCATCAATCTATCTCCCCCTCCATCCTCTCCCCATCATCATCTCCCCCCCTCCCTCCATCAATCATCTCCCCTCCCATCTACCCCCCATCATCATCTCCCCCCCCTCCTCCATCAATCATCTCCCCAATCATCTCCCCTCCATCCTCTCCCCATCATCATCTCCCCCCATCAATCATCTCCCCATCGTCTCCCCCATCATCTCCCCTCCATCCCCCATCATCAACTCCCCCCCTCCTCCCATCAATCATCTCCCCCCCCTCCCATCTCTCCCCATCATCATCCTCCCCCCCCTCCATCAATCCATCCTCCCCCATCATCTCCCATCTCCCATCTCCCCCATCATCATCTCCCCCCTCCTCCATCAATCATCTCCCCATCATCCCCTCCCTCTCTCCCCATCTGTCATCTCCCCTCCCTCCATCGATCATCTCCCCATCATCTCCCCCTCCTCCCATCGATCATCTCCCCATCATCTCCTTCCAATCTCCCCCCATCATCATCATCCCCCTCCTCCCATCAATCCATCTCCCCATCATCATCATCCCCCTCCATCAATCATCCTCCCCTCATCCTCCCCCTCCCATCAGTCATCCTTACCTCCCGTCTCCCCCCATCATCATCATTTATCTCCCCTCCCTCCATCAATCCATCTCCCCATCATCTCCCCCCTCCTCCCAGAAGCTTCTCCTCACCTCCCCTGCCCTGCTGTAGCGTGGCCGAGCTCCTATCCGGTCCGCGACCCGGCGGACTGACAGGAAGTGCACACTCAGTGTGCACTTCCTGTCAGTCTGGCCGGGTCGCGGACCGGAAAGGAGCTCGGCCACGCTACAGCAGGGCAGGGGAGGTGAGGCACTGCGGCAGCTGCCTGAACGCTCTCTATAGAGCGCTCAGGCGGCTGCAGAATTTAAAGGGCCGGCGATGGGGGCGCAGGGCGCCCCCTCCTATATGGCGCCCTAGGCGGCTGCCTAGTTCGCCTTATAGGAAGCGCTGGCCCTGGATACAATGTAGAGGCAGTGGTTGGTGAAGCGGTGGTAGACAGATAAACAGCATTTGTAATTGCGGTGGTTTCTTTGGGTGAAGTACTGGTGACAGGAGGTATCGGCGTTTGTGAAGCAGTTTCTGTAGATCATTTGATATTCAAATGTAATATAACAAATACTTAGTAAAAGATTCATGTAGATTAATATAAAAGTTATACAATAATAAAGCATTTATTGAATGAAAATAATGTATAGGCTTTGAACATATTCATTTACCACTCAAACTTTGGGCTTATGGTATATGTATCTATGTTCATGTTTATATAGAGATAGATAAAGAAATAGATAGATAGATAGATAGATAGGTCTTATGATATATGTATCTTATCTGGATACCCACCTGGTCCTGTTACAGTATGGCTGGTAGTAGGATACAATGTAGTGGCAGTGGTTTGTGAAGCAGTGGTAGACAGAGGAACAGTATTTGTAAGTGCAGTGTTTGTGGTGGGTAAAGTACTGGGGACCGGAGGGATCAGTGTTTGAGAAGTCGTTTCTGTAGATTCTTTTGATATTTAAATTTAATAGAAAAGATACTTAGAAAAAGATACATGCAGAGTAATATAAAAGATGTATGATACTAAAGCATTTATTAAAAGAAAGCAATGTCTGTTTTTGGAGACATACATTAACCACTCAAACTTTGCTCTTATGGTATATTTATCTATGTAGATGTATAGATAAATCAACAGACAGACAGAGAGAGAGAGAGAAAGACAGAGAGATAGACAGACAGAGGACATCGATACGTAACTCATTAGGTACACACTCAAACTTTGTAATTTTGGTATGTGTAGGTATGTACATGTATATACAGAAATAGATAGACAAAGAGACAGTTAGACATTGATAAATACCTTATCTGGGTACCAACCTTGTGCTGTTACAGTATGACTGGTAGTAGGATACAATGTAGTGGCAGTGGTTGGTGAAGCGGTGGTAGACAGTGAAATAGTATTTGTAAGTGCAGTGGTTTCTGTTGTTGAGGTTTTGGTGACAGGAGGGATCGACGTTTGCGAAGCATTTTCTGTAGATCCTTGTGATATTTAAATGTAATATAAAAGATACTTAGAAATTGATACATGTAGAGTAATATGAAAAATACATGGTACTAAAGCATTAATTAAAAGAAAGCAAGGTCTGGGCAGACAGACAGACAGATAGGTCTTATGGTCTGTGGATGAAGTACTCATGACAGGAGGGATTGGCGTTTGTGAAGCCGTTTCTGTAAATGTAATATAACAAATACTTAGAAAAAGATACATGGAGATAAATATTATGATACTAAAGCATTTATTAATGAAAAATAATGTTGGGTTTTTGAGACATTCATTTACTAGTTAAACTTTGGTTTTATAGTATATTTATCTATGTGCATGTATATATAGATGTACAGACAGACAGAGTACCAGGTACCCACCTGGTGCTGTTACAGTATGGCTGGTAGTAGAATACAATGTTGTGGCAGGGGTTGGTGAAGCAGTGGTTGACAGTGGAACAGTATTTGCGATTGCAGTGGTTTCTGTTGTTGAGGTACTAGTAACTGAAGGACTCGGTGTTTGTGAAGCAGTTTCTGTAGATCATTTTATATTTAAGTATAATATAACAGATACTTGGTAAAATATACATTTAGATTACTATAAATGATACATAGTACAAAAGAATTTATTAATGGAATGGAATGTCTAGGTTCAGGAGATATTCATTTACTACTCGAACATTGGTCATATGGTCTATGTACATGTAAATAAAGAGACAGACAGATAAGCAGGTAGGCAGAAAAGCAGATTTCATGTACATAGACCATATGACTCGAACATTGGTCATATGGTCTATGTACATGTAAATAAAGAGACAGACAGATAAGCAGGTAGGCAGAAAAGCAGATTTCGATAAAAACCTTTTCTGGGTACCCACCTGGTGGTGTTACAGTATGGCTGGTAGTAGGATACAATGTAGTGGCAGTGGTTTGTGAAGCGGTGGTAGACAGAGGAACAGTATTTGTAAGTGCGGTGGTTTTTGTGGGTAAAGTACTGATGACAGGAGGGATCGACGTTTGAGAAATCGTTTCTGTAGATCCTTTTGATATTTAAATGCAATTTAACAAATACTTAGTTAACAATACATGTAGATTTATATAAATGATACATGGTACTAAAACATTTTTTAAAGGAAAATAATGTCTGGGTTTTGGAGACATCCATTTACGACTCAAACTTTGGTCTTATTATATATGTATCTATGTTCATGTATATATAGAGATAGCTAGATAGACAGATAGACATACAGAAAGACATTGATAAGTTCCTTATATGGGTACACACCTGGTGTTGTTCCAATATGGCTGGTAGTAGGATACAGTGTAGCGGCAGTGGTTGGTGAAGTGGTGGTAGACAGTGGAAAGGTATTTGTAAGTGCAGTGGTTTCTGTTGTTGAAGTTCTGGTGACCGGAGGGATCGGTGTTTGTGAAGCATTTTCTGTAGATCCTTTTCATATTTAAATTTAATATAAAAGATACTTAGAAAAAGATACATGTAGAGTAATATAAAAGATGTATGATACTAAACCATTTATTAAAAGAAAGCAATGTCTGTGTTTGTGAAGCGGTGGTAGACAAAGGAACAGTATTTGTAAGTGCAGTGTTTTCGGTGGGTAAAGTACTGGTGACCGGAGGGATCAGTGTTTGAGAAGTCGTTTCTGTAGATCCTTTTGATATTTAAATTCAATAGAAAAGAAACTTAGAAACAGATACATGTAGAGTAATATAAAAGATGTGTTTGGAGACATGCATTAACCACTCAAACTTTGCTCTTATGGTATATTTATCTATGTAGATGTATAGATAGATCAACAGACAGTCAGAGAGAGTGAGAGAAAGACAGAGACATAGACAGACAGAGGACATCGATACATACCTCATAAGAGTGCACACCTGGTGCTTTTTCAGTAGTATTTACCACTCAAACTGTGTTCTTCTGTTATTTGTACATGTATATATAGAGATAGATAGAGAGACAGTTTGACATCGATAAATGCCTTTCTGGGTACCCACCTGGTGGTGTTACAGTATGGCTGGTAGTAGGATACAATGTAGAGGCAGTGGTTGGTGAAGCGGTGGTAGACAGATGAACAGTATTTGTGATTGGAGTGGTTTCTTCGGGTGAAGTACTGGTGACAGGAGGTATCAGCGTTTGTGAAGCAGTTTCTGTAGATCATTTGATATTCAAATGTAATATAACAAATACTTAGTACAAGATTCATGTAGATTAATATAAAAGTTATACGATAATAAAGCATTTATTGAATGAAAATAGTGTATAGGCTTTGAACATATTCATTTACCACTCAAACTTTGGTCTTATGGTATATGTATCTATGTTCATGTATATATAGAGATAGATAAAGAGATAGAGAGATAGACAGATAGACAGATAGATAGATAGATAGGTCTTATGATATATGTATCTTATCTGGATACCCACCTGGTGCTGTTACAGTATGGCTGGTAGTAGGATACAATGTAGAGGCAGTGGTTGGTGAAGCGGTGGTAGACAGATGAACAGTATTTGTGATTGGAATGGTTTCTTCGGGTGAAGTACTGGTGACAGGAGGTATCAGCGTTTGTGAAGCAGTTTCTGTAGATCATTTGATATTCAAATGTAATATAACAAATACTTAGTAAAAGATTCATGTAGATTAATATAAAAGTTATACGATAATAAAGCATTTATTGAATGAAAATAATGTATAGGCTTTGAACATATTCATTTACCACTCAAACTTTGGTCTTATGGTACATGTATCTATGTTCATGTTTATATAGAGATAGATAAAGAGATAGATAGATAGATAGATAGATAGATAGATAGATAGATAGATAGGTCTTATTATATATGTATCTTATCTGGATACCCACCTGGTCCTGTTACAGTATGGCTGCTAGTAGGATACAATGTAGTAGCAGTGGTTTGTGAAGCAGTGGTAGACAGAGGAACAGTATTTGTAAGTGCAGTGTTTGTGGTGGGTAAAGTACTGGTGACCGGAGGGATCAGTGTTTGAGAAGTCGTTTCTGTAGATCCTTCTGATATTTAAATTTAATAGAAAAGATACTTAGAAAAAGATACATGCAGAGTAATATAAAAGATGTATGATACTAAAGCATTTATTAAAATAAAGCAATGTCTGTGTTTGGAGACATACATTAACCACTCAAAATTTGCTCTTATGGTATATTTATCTATGTAGATGTATAGATAGATCGACAGACAGACAGAGAGAGTGAGAGAAAGACAGAGACATAGACAGACAGAGGACATCAATACATACCTCATACGAGTGCACACCTGGTGCTTTTTCAGTAGTATTTACCACTCAAACTGTGTTCTTCTGTTATTTGTACATGTATATATAGAAATAGATAGAGAGACAGTTTGGCATCGATAAATGCCTTTCTGGGTACCCACCTGGTGCTGTTACAGTATGGCTGGTAGCAGGATACAATGTAGAGGCAGTGGTTTGTGAAGCGGTGGTAGACAGATGAACAGTATTTGTGATTGGAATGGTTTCTTCGGGTGAAGTACTGGTGACAGGAGGTATCAGCGTTTGTGAAGCAGTTTCTGTAGATCATTTCATATTCAAATGTAATATAACGTATACGTAATAAAATATTCATGTAGATTAATATAAAAGTTATACGATAATAAAGGATTTATTGAAGGGAAATAATGTATATGCATTGAACATATTCATTTATCACTCAAACTTTGGTCTTCTGGTATATGTATCTATGTTCATGTATATATAGAGATAGATAAAGAAATAGATAGATAGATAGATAGATAGATAGGTCTTATGATATATGTATCTTATCTGGATACCCACCTGGTCCTGTTACAGTATGGCTGTTAGTAGGATACAATGTTGTGGCAGGGGTTGGTGAAGCAGTGGTTGACAGTGGAACAGTATTTGCGATTGCAGTGGTTTCTGTTGTTGAGGTACTAGTAACTGAAGGACTCGGTGTTTGTGAAGCAGTTTCTGTAGATCGTTTTATATTTAAGTATAATATAACAGATACTTGGTAAAATATACATTTAGATTACTATAAATTATACATAGTACAAAAGAATTTATTAATGGAATGGAATGTCTAGGTTCAGGAGATATTCATTTACTACTCGAACATTGGTCATATGGTCTATGTACATGTAAATAAAGAGACAGACAGAGAAGCAGGTAGGCAGAAAAGCAGATTTCGATAAAAACCTTTTCTGGGTACCCACCTGGTGGTGTTACAGTATGGCTGGTAGTAGGATACAATGTAGTGGCAGTGGTTTGTGAAGCGGTGGTAGACAGAGGAACAGTATTTGTAAGTGCAGTGGTTTTTGTGGGTAAAGTACTGATGACAGGAGGGATCGACGTTTGAGAAATCGTTTCTGTAGATTCTTTTGATATTTAAATGCAATTTAACAAATACTTAGTTAACAATACATGTAGATTTATATAAATGATACATGGTACTAAAACATTTTTTAAAGGAAAATAATGTCTGGGTTTTGGAGACATCCATTTAGGACTCAAACTTTGGTCTTATTGTATATGTATCTATGTTCATGTATATATAGAAATCGCTAGATAGACAGATAGACATACAGAAAGACATTGATAAGTTCCTTATATGGGTACACACCTGGTGTTGTTCCAATATGGCTGGTAGTAGGATACAGTGTAGCGGCAGTGGTTGGTAAAGCGGTGGTAGACAGTGGAAAGGTATTTGTAAGTGCAGTGGTTTCTGTTGTTGAAGTTCTGGTGACTGGAGGGATCGGTGTTTGTGAAGCATTTTCTGTAGATCCTTTTCATATTTAAATTTAATATAAAAGATACTTAGAAAAAGATACATGTAGAGTAATATAAAAGATGCATGATACTTTAGCATTTATTAAAAGAAAGCAAAGTCTGTGTTTGTGAAGCGGTGGTAGACAAAGGAACAGTATTTGTAAGTGCAGTGTTTGCGGTGGGTAAAGTACTGGTGACCGGAGGGATCAGTGTTTGAGAAGTCGTTTCTGTAGATCCTTTTGATATTTAAATTCAATAGAAAAGATACTTAGAAAAAGATACATGCAGAGTAATATAAAAGATGTATGATACTAAAGCATTTATTAAAAGAAAGCAATGTCTGTGTTTGGAGACATACATTAACCACTCAAAATTTGCACTTATGGTATATTTATCTATGTAGATGTATAGATAGATCGACAGACAGACAGAGAGAGTGAGAGAAAGACAGAGACATAGACAGACAGAGGACATCGATACATACCTCATGCTTTTTCAGTAGTATTTACCATTCAAACTTTGTTCTTCTGTTATTTGTACATGTATATATAGAAATAGATAGAGAGACAGTTTGGCATCGATAAATGCCTTTCTGGGTACCCACCTGGTGCTGTTACAGTATGGCTGGTAGCAGGATACAATGTAGAGGCAGTGGTTGGTGAAGCGGTGGTAGACAGATGAACAGTATTTGTGATTGGAATGGTTTCTTCGGGTGAATTACTGGTGACAGGAGGTATCAGCGTTTGTGAAGCAGTTTCTGTAGATCATTTAATATTCAAATGTAATATAACGTATACTTAATAAAAGATTCATGTAGATTAATATAAAAGTTATACGATAAAGGATTTATTGAAGGGAAATAATGTATATGCATTGAACATATTCATTTATCACTCAAACTTTGGTCTTATGGTATATGTATCTATGTTCATATATATATAGAGATAGATAAAGAAATAGATAGATAGATAGATAGATAGATAGATAGGTCTTATGATATATGTATCTTATCTGGATACCCACCTGGTCCTGTTACAGTATGGCTGGTAGTAGGATACAATGTAGTGGCAGTGGTTTGTGAAGCAGTGGTAGACAGAGGAACAGTATTTGTAAGTGCAGTGTTTTCGTTGGGTAAAGTACTGGTGACCGGAGGGATCAGTGTTTGAGAAGTCGTTTCTGTAGATCCTTTTGATATTTAAATTTAATAAAAAAGATACTTAGAGAAAGATACATGTAGAGTAATATAAAAGATGTATGATACTAAAGCATTTATTAAAAGAAAGCAATGTCTGTTTTTGGAGACATACATTAACCACTCAAACTTTGCTCTTATGGTATATTTATCTATGTAGATGTATAGATAGATCGACAGACAGACAGAGAGAGAGAAAGACAGAGAGATAGACAGACAGAGGACATCGATACGTAACTCATTAGGTACACACTCAAACTTTGTAATTTTGGTATGTGTAGGTATGTACATGTATATACAGAAATAGATAGACAAAGAGACAGTTAGACATTGATAAATACCTTATCTGGGTACCAACCTTGTGCTGTTACAGTATGACTGGTAGTAGGATACAATGTAGTGGCAGTGGTTGGTGAAGCGGTGGTAGACAGTGGAATAGTATTTGTAAGTGCAGTGGTTTCTGTTGTTGAGGTTTTGGTGACAGGAAGGATCGACGTTTGCGAAGCATTTTCTGTAGATCCTTGTGATATTTAAATGTAATATAAAAGATACTTAGAAATTGATACATGTAGAGTAATATGAAAAATACATGGTACTAAAGCATTAATTAAAAGAAAGCAATGTCTGGGCAGACAGACAGACAGATAGGTCTTATGGTCTGTGGATGAAGTACTCATGACAGGAGGATTGGTGTTTGTGAAGCCGTTTCTGTAAATGTAATATAACAAATACTTAGAAAAAGATACATGGAGATAAATATTATGATACTAAAGCATTTATTAATGAAAAATAATGTTGGGTTTTTGAGACATTCATTTACTAGTTAAACTTTGGTTTTATAGTATATTTATCTATGTGCATGTATATATAGATGTACAGACAGACAGAGTACCAGGTACCCACCTGGTGTTGTTACAGTATGGCTGGTAGTAGAATACAATGTTGTGGCAGGGGTTGGTGAAGCAGTGGTTGACAGTGGAACAGTATTTGCGATTGCAGTGGTTTCTGTTGTTGAGGTACTAGTAACTGAAGGACTCGGTGTTTGTGAAGCAGTTTCTGTAGATCATTTTATATTTAAGTATAATATAACAGATACTTGGTAAAATATACATTTAGATTACTATAAATGATACATAGTACAAAATAATTTATTAATGGAATGGAATGTCTAGGTTCAGGAGATATTCATTTACTACTCGAACATTGGCCATATGGTCTATGTACATGTAAATAAAGAGACAGACAGATAAGCAGGTAGACAGAAAAGCAGATTTCGATAAAAACCTTTTCTGGGTACCCACCTGGTGGTGTTACAGTATGGCTGGTAGTAGGATACAATGTAGTGGCAGTGGTTTGTGAAGCGGTGGTAGACAGAGGAACAGTATTTGTAAGTGCAGTGGTTTTTGTGGGTAAAGTACTGATGACAGGAGGGATCGACGTTTGAGAAATCGTTTCTGTAGATCCTTTTGATATTTAAATGCAATTTAACAAATACTTAGTTAACAATACATGTAGATTTATATAAATGATGAAAAATATTTTTATAAACTTTAAATGTATTCAACGTGTTGTAGGAATGTAGAAATATTGTAAGTTATTATTCTAAGCATATCCAGACATCGAGAGGCCTACCCAGATAGATTACTATCATAATGTAATTTATACACATACTGTAATTTACACACATATGGTTTTAAGTCAAGAATGATGGATGGAGACTTGTGGATCCTGCTTATAATAACCTTTGACCTAGCCTTGTAAGCCTGAATTCCTGTGAAGGTTCACATTTCTATAGGCAATCATTCATTCCATCATGTAATTAGAAGTCTCAAGAAGGTCTTTGTGTGTAACTTACCAAAACATCATAACGTATGGCTTTAATCATAGATATCGAATAATACTAAGTTACCACCTATTTTTTCTTAGATAACCAATTATTGTAAAGCAGGCAAACCTTATGTCATTATGTATACGCCCTATGTAATTGAATTTTAAATGTATAAAATACCTTTTGCAGCTAGAATATTCCACCAATACCAATAGTAACACCAACGACCAATACCTTTTAACATCAAGCTTGGATAAGATCTAGAAGTGAATATACATTGTCTATTGGTCCATATGATTTTAAAACAGACTTTTGTTGTTACCGGATGATGTGTATATTGTAATAAATATACGGTTTTAACTGCAAGACACTCTGATTCGATTTGTTCAGAAAACTGGAAAACAAATATCTCACGGAATGCAAATTTCCTACATTTAATGGTGGAGAATGCGGGCAACTTGGATTTAAGTCAGAAGGCAACTTTGAGTTAAGTCTGAATTATTACTGACTTAATATTTAAGTGTTCTGCTACAAACTACAAGAAGACAAGAAGATAAGAAAATCGCTGAAGAAAAGTTGAAAGTGTTCTCTGAAGAAAAGCTGTAGTACCCGGCTTGAAACAGGAGAAACACAAGAGACTGACTGACACAGCAGGAGTGCATCCCAAAGATTCTTTGTTTAAACATCCCAGGTCTGATGCGAAGACGGAGGTGAAGCAGGGTGAGAAAGTCGTTCGAACGCGTCAGATGTTTATGTTCAGTACTGAAGCAAGAATTTGAAGATAAATAATTGAGATGGACAATCCGGGTCCTTTTTATCCACACTTTATCAAGTAATTTGTGACGACGTGCAGATCGAAGATTGCATTTCGGAGGATTCTCAAGAATAACTACATATTCCAGAAAGTATTCTTCTATCAGAAAGTGGCCATATCTGTGGAACCAGAGTACTTAATGGGTATGTGTCTTGTTTTAAATCATATGTAAAAAGTGCTCTCATATATATATTGTTTGTTAAACAAAGTGTTTAACTGTTTAAGTTAATTATGGAGTGGCTGCAAAGGATTGCTGCCAGATCTAATAGAGATCTTTCTGTAAAAGGTGTTAATCCTGAAAGTATATGGGATGACTGTTTATTGAAATTGTATTTAAAAAGGAAAGTCAAAAAGTTGCATTACTGGCAAAGAGCTTTTTGGAAACTAATGATGCAATGAATGAATGGTGTCAACTTAAAAAGACCAGTAATTGTTATGTATGTAGTACAACAAAACAAAAAAGGGATGTTTTGTTAAAACAACTGAAAAATGTATGTGTTGTCACAAGGACTAGTTATTTCCCTAGCCCCCCCAGCAAAACTGTGAAATCTCCACAAAAGCTGTTAACAGAAGGGAGATTGCCCCCAAGGCTCTCTTTTGATAGTGACTTGGAATCCACGTTAACTGAAACAAAAACTCAAATAGAAAATTCTCGGCAATTGTTGAAAAGTTTTAGTAGGGATGAAGAAAATGAAGATATTACTATAATGAAAGAAATGCTTAGAAATCAGACTGATCTGTTAGATAGAACCCATAAAACCCTATCTCACATGTCTAAAGAATTAGACATAAATGTTACCAATTTTGACAATTTGCAGAGACAGATTACTAATCTGGGTAGTGCTACAGATATTTTGTGGAAAGCTACAAATCAGAAAGATTTGGATTTTACTTTGAAAGAGGAAAGTGAAAATGAAATAGCTCAAAGGTTAAGTTGTGAAAACGGGAAGGCGAGAAGTGAAATAGAAAATAAATTGGGAAATGTACAAGGAAAGGGTCAGTTGGATATTCTCAAATTAGCTAAATTGATTAAGGATTTGCCTAAATATGATGAAAAGAGAGGACCTTTTTACAATATGAGTGTTTTTGAAGGTGAAATGAATAAAAGACAATTTGATGATGTGGTAGCCACAAGAGGTCTTTTGATCTGGCTGCCAACTTCATTAAGTGAATGGGTTAAAGTTAAACTCATTGATGTGTTGGAAGGGAAGTCAAGTGAAAAGCCCCGAGTTGAGTTGGAGGAATTGTTTCCAAATAATACACAGAGATTGCTAATGGTGGTGCAGTGTGCAACTGGTGTGGAGAATTTTCAATTTTCTACTCTTGATTCATTTAAAATGGAGAAAAATTATGATATACGTGTTTGTGCTAATTTGTGGAATAAGGCATGGAATTTGATTACTGATACAGAACCATCTGCTATGTCTAAAGAACAACATAAGCAGAGTGTTACTGAATTTGTCTCTAGAATAGCAGGGTTGCCAAATGAGATAAAATTAAGAGCTTTTGATTCACCCACAGTTGATTTTGCTGCTACAGAAATAATGAAATCTTTGCAATTGTTGCAAAAGAAAAACACAGAAACAGCTAAGATTTTTGCTTTCACAGACACAATTTTCTCTAGGGATACTTCAGCAGGTCTGGCCCCTATTAACTATGTGTCTCGTGAAGAAGGTAGAGGAAGATATGAAAATAATAATATAAATGGTAATTTTAGAGGGAGGTCTATGAATAAACCACAAAATTACCAGGGTACTAGAAATTATTCGGCCCCATCCCAAGATAGATATTATAGGGTTAGTCAGAATAGTCCTATGATATGCTATAAATGCAACCAAGAAGGTCATGTTAGGAGATATTGTCCCAAAAATGAAGAAAAATCTTACACAGTGAAAGGGAAAGAAAATGGCATTGTGCCAGGCTATAAGAATCTACAGAGAGTGGCAGCTGTAGAAACCGAAAATACATCTTCAAACCCCCCTCAAATATCAAATCCATATGAAGAGTGTAGACGGATGTTAAATGCCATTGAAATGAAAGTGGAAGCAGTCACAAGTCCACAAGTGAATTCTGCTTACCACACTAATAAATAGGGATGTGTAACCCCTAGTTGTTCTCTGGTCTATCTCACTGATATTACTCTGGGTGAAGATGGAAGGCCATATATTTATGGAACACTAGAGGGGAATATAACAGAGTTTTTAGTAGACACAGGAGCTGCAGTGTCTTTAACCAACAAAAGCTTGCCTTTAAAAATTGAAGCACCAACAATTTCCCTTCTAAGTTTTAATGGAGCACATGCCCATGCAACTCTATCCACTGATAATTACATCAAATTTGAAGGAGGTAAAATAAATTGTGACTTATGGGTCGACCTCTCATCCCACTGTACTATTTTGGGGATGGATGTTATCAATGAAAAAAAGTTGTATGTGGATTTATTGAATTTGGTTTTGTGGCAAGCTCCAGGTGAGAGCAAATCAGGTGGAGTGGTTAGACCTAATGATTTAGGATGGTATAGTCATGTCATGTCTGTAAAGCAGGGTGAAGTGTCACCTTTTATACAACAAGATGATGATTTTGTAACCTATCTTAAAGAAAAATACCCCACAGTATGGTCTAAATCTAAACAAGATAGTGGGAGAATGAATTTACAAGTTGTCATTGAAGGTCCAGACCCTCCTGCAGTAAAACAATATAAAATTCCAAAAGAATCAGAAGAAGGTGTGAGTCAGGTGATAGAGGCATTGGTATCTCAAGGAGTGCTGAGAGTGGGTAATTCCAAATGTAATTCCCCTATTTGGCCAATAATCAAGCCAGATGGCTCTTATCGTTTAATTGTGGACATGCGAGTGGTGAATAAGTATACCCCACCAGCAGCCCATATAGTGGCCTCCTCACCAGATATCATGGCACAAGTAGACGGCAATGCTAAGTATTTTTCTGTTCTGGATATAGCCAATGGGTTCTTCTCAATACCAGTACATCCAGATAGTCAGTATCGTTTTGCTTTTACATTTAAAAATCATCAATATCTGTTCCAGGTGCTGCCACAGGGCTTCCACTCCTCGCCAGCTTATTTTCATAAAGCACTGGCTCAAGTATTGGAACCCCTGGGGTATGGGAGCAAGATTTTGCAATATGTTGATGATCTGTTGGTTCAAACAGTAACAAGGGAAGAGCATGAGCAGATACTGTGTGATATTTGTCAAGCACTGGCAGATAATGGGTTAAAACTGAACACATTCAAAGTGCAGATCTTGAAAGAAAGCGTGGCTTTCTTAGGAGTAAATATAGATCCAGCAGGTAAAACACCAAGAACAGCAAGGGTTAAAGCATTACAGCAATTGCCAAGGCCAATGACAGTGTCTGATCTAAGGAAATTTTTAGGTTTGGTAAATTTTAGCAGAGAATTCATCTATGATATGGCAGGAATAGCAAAACCCCTGTACAATATGCTAAAAGATAGTGCTAATACAGATAAGCTACTCTGGACAGAGGAAGCTGAAAAGAGTTGGAACCTGTTAAAAGATGCTCTTACACAAGCGCCTGTGTTAGCTGCTCCCATTGAAACAGTACCATATATTGTTCAATGTTACGCAGGTGTCTCTTCATTAATAGCAGTTTTGATGCAAAGGCAACATGACTCCTTACGAATACTGGGATATTTTTCTAAAGTCATGTCTCCAGTGGAAAGGGGAATGTTTTCCTGTGTAAAACAGCTTTTGGCTGTATGTTGGGCTTTAGAAGCAACACAACACATTGTAGGTTTTGGACAGCTAATTTTACAAACCCCCCACACACCTTTAAAACTGTTACACAATTGTTCTGATTTAGGAGTACATAGCCAGAGGGTAGCTCATTGGATATTGAAGTTACAAGATAAACCACTCAAGGTAGAAAGCAGTAAGAGATATGTTATTCCTGAGTTGATAGAGATAAGTGGAACACCTCATGATTGTCAAAAGGAATTAGAAATTGAATCTAAATCTCCTTTTGAGAAACAAGCAATACAAGGGGCTCCTTGTTTGTATGTGGATGGAACGAGATTTTATGCTGATGGATCACATCACACAGGTTATGCCATTTATGATGATCATACAAAAGAAATGCAGAGATATAAATTGCCAGGCCATATGTCTGCTCAGAGAGCTGAGTTAGAGGCTGTAAGGAAAGCTCTTGAAATAACAGCATATGACCCAGTGAATATAATCAGTGACAGCAGCTATGTAGTTAAAGCTTTAACACTTCATCTCCCAATATGGAGAAAACGGGGGATGGTAGATTCACAGGACAAAGCTTTAAAACATGCAGGTATTTTGGCAGAACTGTTTAATTATGCAGAAAAAAAGGGTTTAACTTGTGCTGTTGTGAAAGTTCAAGCACATCAAAACAGGAAAAATGGGGATGAAATGGCAGAAGGAAACAGACTTGTAGATCAGGGAGCAAAGGAAGCTGCTTTAATAGGAGAGTTGCAATACTCAGAAAATGTAATGATTGCAACTGTGAGTAAAAGACCAATATCAAATCCCCTACAAGATCTGAAAGAAAATCAGAGTAAAGATGTAGCTTTCAGTAGAGAAACAATGGATTTAGATACTGAAACTGGCTTGTACGGGATTAAACATGAAGAAACACAAACGTTTGTACCATTTGTACCTAGTGATATATTACAGGAGTTGATTGTATTCAATCATCGTACACTGGGGCATTTGGGTACAGAAAACCTGTTTAAGGTCCTGCAAAATAAATTTTATCATCCTAATTTGAAACAATGGTGTACAAACATAGTGCAGGAGTGTCTCATATGTGCTCAATTTAATCCCAGACCTAAAGGTCAGAAACCAAAATTGCAGAGAGTACCTTTGGCAAAAGGACCATGTGACTCTATACAAATTGATTTTATTGGACCATTACCTATAGCTCCAGGAGGACTAAAGTACGGATTGGTAATTGTTGATATATTCTCCAAATGGGTGGATTGTATAGCTCTTACCAATTGTACAGCATTAACAACATGTAAGGCGCTATGGAAATATGTATTTTCTGTATGGGGTTTTCCCAGAATCATTGAATCTGACAATGGTCCACACTTCATTGGAGAAGTACTTAAAGAAATGTGTAAATTGTTGGGGATCCAACAAAGATTTCATGTCCCATATCATCCACAGTTGGCTGGCATAGTGGAAAGAATGAATAGGACATTGAAATCTAGATTGAAAAAAATGCTTGAAGATAAAGGGAGTAGTTGGGTAACACACTTACCAGGAGTTTTAATGTCTATTCGTGCAACTCCAAACTCCAAAACGCAAGTGTCACCTCATGAGTTAATGACAGGCAGAACCATGCCAATTACTTTCCCCAATGAACCTTTTGTTCCAAGTACTTTCAAAGTTGCTGCAGAACATGCTGAATGGTTAAAAATGTTACAAGTACAGCTGCAGTCAGTTTTGAAGTTTGCTGCTTTGAATATGGCCCCTTCTGGTAAACAATGGGTTAAGGATGTAACTCAGGGGAATTATGCAGATAAGTTTAAACCAGGATACAAGGTGATGGTGAAATCATTTAGAACACCAGGTCCCTGGCAGGCAGGTTGGGAAGGACCTTATGTTATTCTAAAGAAATTAGGACAAACTGTTTTACAGGTTCAAAGAGCAAAAGTTGGTAGGAAATGTAATAAAGCAATTCTTGTGCATATTGATCAATGTAAACTCACTAATGTATAAGAATAGTAAACTGCCATCTGTTTTTCATTACAGAATCAATAATGTTTGTTCATGGACAAAGACTGTTTAATTTTAAAAAGGACAAATTGTTTGGACTTTCAAAAGACACTATGGCCAAAAAGACTGCTCTCATGAATGCGATTGGAGAGGACATTACTTCACGGACTAAATCAAACCGATTGGGGTTTCTTGATAATGTAACCTTTATAAAATTGCATAGCATCATACTGTTTTTAATCATGATGATGTTAGGTACAATCAATGCCCAAGGTACAGGTACTCCAGATTGTGATATTAGAGATACTTTTTCTAAATGTACAGCATTCCCCTATGAGTGTAAAGTGAGATATTGTAAGACTCCTGATGTTAATTATTGTGGATGCATTAATGCAAACACATCTGAGGATGCAATATCCGGTGCGCTCATATTCCATGATAACCAAGAACCATGTATGACATATCTATCAGTTGACGGACGAATTGATTTAATCATTAATATTACCAAGGATCAGACATATATAATGCAAAATAATACTGAGAGTAGGTGTGTGGTACCTACTGGTATAGACAACACCCTTACCCTTATTATGTTTAATGTGAGAAGTGTTAACGATGATGGGTTAAATTGCTAAATCTACTTAATAGATACACTTGTTAATCCTTACACAAATGCTAAAGTAAATATTATGATATAATACCACCCATATTAAAAAGGACTGATTCTATTATGAAATATGATCAACGTACTTTATATAATGTAAACATAGGTTACGGAGTTGATTTCTATAAGCAGGTAAAGAACAATGAAGAGTTATTACAAGTTACTGATAAAGCTGCGACTGGAGTACATAACACTTTAGTACAAATACATACAGTGCAAGGTATGATTAAAAGCATTAAACATGATTATATCGAAGAAACCACATCCTGGTGGCAACGGTGGTTTGGGGGACAAAAGACAGGATTAGTTATGGGTATGACACACTTCATAACATCCTTTGGTAATTTTGATAATTATTATTATGGTTTTATTCTTCTTTAGTTGTTATATGTCTAAAAGAATCAATCGTTTACGGTCTCAACTGATGGATGTGGAATACAGATGTAAATTCCTAACCACAAAATTAAAGTTTTACAAGGAATTGGAATAAATTATGATGCATTATATTTACATAAAAAGCATCAAAGGGGAACTTGAAAAATATTTTTATAAACTTTAAATGTATTCAACGTGTTGTAGGAATGTAGAAATATTGTAAGTTATTATTCTAAGCATATCCAGACATCGAGAGGCCTACCCAGATAGATTACTATCATAATGTAATTTATACACATACTGTAATTTACACACATATGGTTTTAAGTCAAGAATGATGGATGGAGACTTGTGGATCCTGCTTATAATAACCTTTGACCTAGCCTTGTAAGCCTGAATTCCTGTGAAGGTTCACATTTCTATAGGCAATCATTCATTCCATCATGTAATTAGAAGTCTCAAGAAGGTCTTTGTGTGTAACTTACCAAAACATCATAACGTATGGCTTTAATCATAGATATCGAATAATACTAAGTTACCACCTATTTTTTCTTAGATAACCAATTATTGTAAAGCAGGCAAACCTTATGTCATTATGTATACGCCCTATGTAATTGAATTTTAAATGTATAAAATACCTTTTGCAGCTAGAATATTCCACCAATACCAATAGTAATACCAACAACCAATACCTTTTAACATCAAGCTTGGATAAGATCTAGAAGTGAATATACATTGTCTATTGGTCCATATGATTTTAAAACAGACTTTTGTTGTTACCGGATGATGTGTATATTGTAATAAATATACGGTTTTAACTGCAAGACACTCTGATTCGATTTGTTCAGAAAACTGGAAAACAAATATCTCACGGAATGCAAATTTCCTACAAATGATACATGGTACTAAAACATTTTTTAAAGGAAAATAATGTCTGGGTTTTGGAGACATCCATTTACTACTCAAACTTTGGTCTTATTGTATATGTATCTATGTTCATGTATATATAGAGATAGATAGACAGATAGACATACAGAAAGACATTGATAAGTTCCTTATATGGGTACACTCCTAGTGTTGTTCCAATATGGCTGGTAGTAGGATACAGTGTAGCGGCAGTGGTTGGTGAAGCGGTGGTAGACAGTGGAAAGGTATTTGTAAGTGCAGTGGTTTCTGTTGTTGAAGTTCTGGTGACTGGAGGCATCGGTGTTTGTGAAGCATTTTCTGTAGATCCTTTTCATATTTAAATTTAATATAAAAGATACTTAGAAAAAGATACATGTAGAGTAATATAAAAGATCTATGATACTAAAGCATTTATTAACCCCTTAAGGACGGAGCCAAATGTACACGTTGTGAACAAAACAAAATGTAAACAAAACCTGGCATTTG